CTTTACGCCAACGAGCCTCAGCCGTTATGCTTATTCGTAAGGCTACCGTTATGTTTCCCAACGCCACAATAACTCCATCATCCATGTACAATTCTCGTGAGGCTTTAGCGTTTGATGTACAAGAAACCACATATACGCGAATAAAAAGTCACTCAGCATTACTCGTTACTGCGGCTTCGTCGGCCGCGTTATCGTCAACGGCTTGAACGGCTTCCGTAGCCTATCCAACCCCGGAGGCGGCCCTAGCCCGACTGGACGCCTTACGCCGCCTCTAGCAGCCGCCGAAACAAACGTGGTCCTGTGGAAGCTCGAGGCTGGGCGGTCGGGAACAGAGACGCTCTCCGCAGCTGGCTGCTCTTCCTTGACGACCTCGTCGCCGTCGTGTCTGGGCGGAGAGCTAGAGAAGCAGTGGTACCGTTTTTTGGAGTCGCCCTCCGCGTCCTCCAGCTTGATGCCGTTGGGTCGCTTCAGGACATTGCCGCTGGCAAGCTTGTGCTTCCCTAGCGATAGGCTAGCGGCGTCAGGGAGCTTCGGCAGCTCAGGGGCTTCTGCTTCTGCTGCTAACCTGGCTGCGGACCGAGATGCTGCAAGCTGATAACGGGCCATGGACATGTCTGGGCCGTTGAACCCCCCCGCTGGAGCTGCCGGCTTCTTGGCAGACGAAGTGGTTACGAATCCGAGCAGGCTTGTTTGATCTGCTTTCCGACGAGTCGTTCCCGACTTGATGACCTTTTTGGCTGCTGCTGCTGCCGCCTTTTCTGCTTCAGCAGCCGCAGCCGCAGCGAGCGCGTTCTGATGCGTCCCGGCTGACACGAACCCGGGTAAAGATGCCATGGTGAAGCTCGACGCCTGCTCCATGGTGGTGCTGTATTCTTTCTGCCACGGCCGCTCCTCTGCCTCTTCTTCGTCGTTGCCGTATCCCTGGCCGTTGAAACGCTGGCGTTTGGGCCCTTTGGGACGATAGCCGTCAGGCCCGCCCGAGTCTTCGGCATCTCTCGTGTCGATAGGATCTATTGGGAACAAGTTATCTTCCAAGGCGAACATGGGCGGTATCTTGTCAAAGATTGATTTTTCGCTGGGAACATCTCTTCCAAGGATTTTTGCGACTCCTTCCAGGACTGGTCTGTTGAACGAGGCCCCATGCTTGGCAAAAGCCGTCGATGCAAAGGGCGAGACGAAGGGTGATAGCTCAACCTTGGCCCCCATGCCCTGCGACCCGTACATGGGGCAGCTGAGATAGAGCAGCGCTTGCGCTCTGGTCATGGCTACATAGAGCAACCGCCTCTCCTCGTCCAGATCCTCCGCCCTCGAGTGGGGAATGGAACCAGCATACACAGCTGGCACGAATACAATAGGCCACTCGAGCCCTTTGGCAGCGTGTATGGTTGATATGGTGATCAATGATTTCTTCTCCCCGCCTTCGTCGGTTCTCTGAGCATCTGATGCCAGCGCGACGTTTGCCAGGAAGCGGCCCAGAATGCTGTCATCCTTGGCTTGGTCGACATTCTCAATCTCAGGCAACACTTCGTCGTCTACATTTGCTGAATCCCGCACAAAGTCGTTGGCCAAGCTGAGAAGTTCCTGGACGTTTTGCCATCTCTGCTCGTGGTCCTCGGGATACTCTGTCTCGAGGTGCTTCTTGAAATCCAGCTGTGATAGCAACTTCTCAATGAGGCTGACCAAGGATTGTTGGGAGTTGTCGGTAATCTGCTGGGCTTGGGTCTGGAGATTTACAATCAGCCGTATCAGTTCTGTGTTGAGCCTCTGCTCCATCTTGGGAAGGAGCTTTGTCGCCGCTTTGCGGAAACCCTGGCAATGTTTTCTCAATAGCGACCACAGGCTCATTTTGTGTTGCTCAGCCTCTTCTATCAGGCGCTTGATGGTTGTCTCTCCGATTCCCCGACGCGGAACATTGATGATTCGCGCAATAGCATCGTTGTTCTCCGGTTGATAGATTGCCCGCAAGTAGTCCAGCAGAACCTTGATTTCTTTTCGTTCGTAGAACTTGTGGCCTCCGATCATGCGATAGGCGAGCCCGGCTTTTCCCAACGCCGACTCAATGTTCCTGGATAGAGAGGCAGACCGCAAGAGGATAGCCACGTCTTCGTACGAGAGCATGCCCCCAAACATTGTGACAGCGCGCCTGATTTCTGAGACGATCCAATCTCCCTCTGCGGCAGAGCTCTTCAACGTTCGCAAAACCGGCTTTGTGCCTCTTGTATGAACAGGTAAAAGGACCTTTTGGTATCTCTTCTTGTCTTGTTGAATGACGGTCAATGACACATCGAGAATCGACTGAGAGGATCGGTAATTCTCCTCCAGGGATATCTCATCGGTGTCGGGATAGTCTCGTAGCAACCGGTACAAATTTCGAATTTCGGCCGATCGCCAGCCATAGATGCTCTGATCGGGATCGCCAACGATAGTTATGCGCTGGCGAGCCTGCGCAAAGAGCTTCATCAAGTCATACTGGATGCCGTTCGTGTCTTGGTACTCGTCGATGAGAACTGACTGGATGTTGGAGACACAGGCGGGATATGCCCTTAGCAGCTCCACGCAGCGTACCAGCAGATCATCGTAGTCTAGTAGGTTGGATCTCTCCAGGTGCTCCTGATATTCCCTGTAGCACTCGTTCAACGACGGATTCTCAGGCTGCTTCTTGTTCGAGGTCGGTTCTGTCGAATGCCCCTTGGCTTTGTTCTTGCTGATCCATGCTCTTGCAAAACCCGGGTCGATGTTGAAGTTATGCCGCTTACAGATACGCTGAATGACTGCCCTCGAATCGCCGTCGTCTGCAATGCCAAACTTGGGATCAAGGCCTATATGCTGACCATAGGCACTGAGGTACCTCCGGGCAATAGAGTGAAAGGTGCCCAGTACAATCTTTCTCTCACATTCTGGACCAAGTACTTTGCCTATTCGCTCCTTCATCTCCCTGGCTGCCTTGACTGTAAAAGTTGCGACGACAATGTCTGACGGCTTGTATCCCGTCTGCTGGACCAGCCACACGACGCGTGAAGTTAGAGTATGCGTCTTGCCACTGCCCGGGCCTGCTAGAATAGCAACTGTCGGCGCATTGGATGTGACAGCACGACGCTGGGCCGCGTTGAGTGACCTTAGGATTGGGTTTTCAGCCTGGGCCGTTGACATGTTGGAGGTTGTAGTGGAAGCAACTGGCGATGTTGTTGCCTAGACGAGGGGCTGAAATTGAGCATCGAGAGTCAGGACTGCAGACCTGAGCAAAGGCCCAACCCGGTGATAAAGAAAGCACTGAGATGAACGACGCTTGGTGTCTTGACCAATTATGCCAGCGTTGTCTGGATCGGCGGCTGTTATCGAAACGCGTCGACGCATCCAAGGAGGAGCGTGGCATCGCGAAGTCATGTGATCTGAACTCATGCCTTAGTAAGCACGCGCTCAATCTACATACAAGCCGCATCTCATCATGTCTCTTCAGGAAGAATTGAGGTTGAGAGGGAAAAAAGAAGTCGTTGACCCATCCTTCGAACATGTTGACGCCCGAGGCGCCTATGTATTCATGTGACGAGTGATGAGAGTGATGAGAAGTGCTTCACATGGCACGGCTAGCTGATATCGTCACTATCCAGAGCCCGAGATGGCGTGACTCGCCTTGTCCGAGGACGAAGCCGTTCGCATTATTGGTGATAATGCACGCCATCCTCACTCTGCATTTTGCATGCTGCGAACCATCCTTTCAGACGACAGTTCGGTTCGTCACAGGGAGCACTGCCGGGTCTGGTCCGGCGGTGTGCCTGAGTGCCCTGAGTGATGTGACGAGACCTACAGAACGGGCACCTCTGTGGCTGCATCTGGGTGACGCAGATTTGCAGCCTCAGGGCGCTCGTCACCGCTAGCGGAGTGGCTGTAGGGAGCGATGCTCTTCTCAGCAAGTACCATGGCCGTGACACTCGGAGTTGCGATCTGATTGGGAGGCATTTGGACGAATCGTGGTGGGTGTCACTGCGACGAGGCAGGGATCAAGTCCCGATGCTCTGCTTATGCCATCGCCGGCGCCTATTTAGCAGCAGGCGAAGTGAGCACCACCTCTAGCGTTGGCTGTCGCTTGACAGCCAGGTGGTGGGCAGCGAGGAGGAATACCAGAGGATCGGCGGACGTCAGGGGAAGCAATTGTAGAAATGGGATGAAAGAACAGCGAAAGATGATGAACAATAGACTGAAAGATGGAAGGCAAAACTAGTAGAGAGTGAAGAGATGCCATTTGATTGGGCTCGTGCAGGTGGCTTGGGACAAGCATGGGAGCTCCTCGATCGACGTTGGTATCGGCGTTTGTGATTGGGCGTAAATGGACATTGCCAGCCAATTTGACTCGTCCTTTTCAGCCATAGATCACGGGGCGAACCATCAATTTAATTTGAGCTGCAACTCCTGGTCTTTACGATCCCTATGACCACGGTTCTTTCTCAAGATCACAGAGGAATTACATGTAATAAACCCTCGTTCACGACTCTGTCACCTCGACTCGATGCATCCCGCCTGTGGGGACGCTGCAGGGAGCCATCGCTAGTGCCTTGCATCGCTATCTGCCCATCGTCCAATCAGCGGCCGGGTGGCGCCCGTCACAAAGCAGGTCGGCGCTTAAACCTCCCGCCTGCGCCCAACCACAGGCCGGCGATGGCCTCGACAACGCTCTTTGTCTCTGGCCGCTGTGCCTCTCCGTGCTCCTCCTGCGCCGCGAGCTGTAGCCGCCGTGATGCAGCGTCCAGCCACTCACAGCGCCGCCAGCCGGGGATCCCAGGCAGCCCGTCGCCCGGCCCCACGGCGCAGCGCCAGCTTTGCTGCCCTCTTACGCCGGCCAGCATCGCCAGCCGCTGTGACGACTCTATATACCCCTTTGCATGCCGCAGATTTCTCCTCACTTCGCGTCACATCTTTCTCGGGTCATGTTTCGCATTTCATCGCCAGGAGGTCCCATCACGCTGCCATCGCCTTCATAAGACCCCAGGGCGCGGTGCTCCATCATGCCCCTTGGCACTCGTTCTTCATCATCATCATCATCGTCCTTCGCTCTCTTGACTTCCGTGCTCCTCTGGTCCGTCGCCTCTTGCTCGCCCTTTACGCACAAAGACAGCAGAAGCGAGTCAGCTCGCGGCTTGCCCAACACCTCCAAGTATCTGCCCGTCCAGATCGGCGGCATCGTTGCGGCATACGGAGTCTCCTTGGTGCTGGTCGCCATCCTCCTACTCTCGCTCTCCAGACGACGCAGGGAACATCTCCGGGGGAGTGACCTGCCGCCCAGCTACATCTTGCAGCCAAGCTTTCCGGTAGCAGATCCAAAGCTTCAAGCGTTCCAGCAACAGTTCGACTTCACCCAATATCCCGAGGGCCACGTCGTTGTCCCACCCTTGACCATCCCCAAGGCGGAACCCTTCCACTCCGGCCCATACAGCGCTCGCATTTTCGATCCAAACAGCGTACCGGCACCGTACATCTTGCCGTCGCCTTCTTCTTCATCTGTCGTTCCCACCACTCTCGGAGTCTCGCCACTTGTAGACCAGTCCGTCGTCGCAGCAGACAGAGCCATGGCGCAACAACAGCTGGAAGAGATGTACAAGTATGTCATGGAGCACGAGGAGGCCAAGCAAAAGGGCATCATTCTCGAGTCTCCCGTGGCATCTCCGAACCCTCAGCGCGAGTCAGCGGCGTCCGGCAAGTCGTCCAATGGTCTCTTGTCCAAGAAGAGCAAGTCCAAGCCCGCCGGCTTGAACCTTGCTGCGGCCAAGGAGGAAAAGTCCCAGTCAAAGACCTCAGCCCTGTTCTCGTCGCTCCTCTCGCCCAAGAAGAAGACGGCCAAGGGCATCAGCATCTCGTCTCCCATCATGACGCCCATGTCCGGCACCTTCCCGCAGCATGAGTCTCGCGAGATGAGCGCTATCCCTCCGCGACACTACGCTCCCGCTCCTCCGCCGCCTATCCCAACGGATCAGGTGCCTTACGGTGCCGCCAACACCAGGTCGGGTGCTCCCATAACCCCTGATATCTCGCCCCAGAGCATTCAAACTATCGACGAGCGCATCGGGGCCTCCCTCGACCGTGCCAATCGATCGCGGGCGAGTCTGCAGTACACCGAGAGAGATCCCGAGTCAGCCACCACGGAGAATTCGCAATCTCCCCTCGTTGGTCTCCCATCTTCGCCCCGACCCGGCAGCACGTTCCCTTCACTGCCGTCTTCACCACGACCCGGCGCCTCCTTCTCCCGTCCTAACCCTCCCTCTGCGGTCCGAACCGGTGGAACGCTCCCTCTTCGTGCCTACGAGGAGCAGCTTGGATCGCCGTACGTCACTGCCCAAACAACGAAGCAGACCGTCTTCGAGCGAACCGGACCTCTGTCGCCAGGCGGTGGCAGGACTCCCTTCACCGGCACCGCGGTGCCGTACTCTCCGTATCAGCCGTTTACTCCTTGTGTCCCCATTACCCCTGGCTTGGTGACCAAGGAAGACCGCAAGCGCATGAAGCGCATGGTCCCGAAGACGCCGACTACAGAGCTGGTCAAGAGCTCTGAGGAGATTTGGTAAAAGGCGTGTTGTGGAATAAGAAGTAAACACGAGCAACTCTTTCATATAAAACTTTGTCATTTCTTTACCATTTTCTTTTTTCGAACTTCTACTGTTAGATACTTTGCGTGGGCAGCCCCAGGAAGGGCGCCCCTTTCTCATCATGTCGCCGTGATTCTTGTCTTTCAAATCTAGCAGACATGGCAATTTCTTTTCCTGTTTTCCTTTTAATTTTTCTATTTTGCACAGATATCCGATGACTTGGGCCAGGAGCGCAGAGTTGAGAGAGGAGGAAATTCATACCCACATATACCGTTGATGACTGACGAGCTTCCTCTTCTCCTTTGTTGTACTGAACAGGATGATTAGCATCTACGAATCCATAATTGAATGTTTGGTACTCCATAAAAGTGGTATATCGAGTTGATGTCCCGTAGCTGCGTTCATGACGGCCGATTTGTGGGTCTTGCCTTGCATATGATGATGCGTCTTGCACTATGAAGAGATATTGGCATAAGTCAGATTACCTACCAAGTAGCCATGCAAAGAGAGTGGCCACCTTCTAGGTCAAAGATGGCCACGTTCTGTGGTAGCCGCTTGGCAGGTTATCTGACTTGGTTGCTCATCTGTGAAGTGCCGAATATCACAGTCAAAACAAGAGATCTATTACTGCGGATGAAGTTGTCAGTCTCAAGAAAAGTGGGTTTCTTTCCTCTTCTCTTTTCTCCTACCTACCTTCAGTTTTCTCCATTGTCCCCTCTTCTCTCTTCTCTCTTTCCTCTTGTCTCTTTTGTCGTCTCCCCCCTTACCTTAAGGCCACAACCAACAGACATACTAATATCTACTACTAATCCTATTCTATGGATACGGAGCAAAAGCAACGTTGATCTACATCCCGCCAGTACATGTTGGCCCTGACCACCACCGTTGCAGGCCCTCAGACCCGCGGACAATGTTTAATTTAAACTTAGCTTCAGCTCCAAGAAGGCGCATAAGGTCGCTAAAATGACATCCAAAAATCCGAGGGATATAGTAATAGGTAACGAAAGCAAAAACAAAAAAAGTGATTGATAGGATATCAGAAACGGTCCCCTTCCAACAAACAAAAAGTGATGGGATGCATGTATCAATAGCACAGAAGGGAAATGACATAATTATAACGTGTCGTATTTCACCAGTTTTGGTTGGTGAACTAAAAGCCCTTGCAGTTTTTTTTCGATCCGTGGCCGCGGATCGTCGTGGGCCGCTAGATTTAGATAGAATGTGTCTTTGTCCCTCTTCCTCGGTATCTCGTGCAAATTGCTACTACGGATATACGAGTCATCATGATGGGATATCGGTTGCTTGTACCTAATCGATATTTCGCATCTCGGGTCGAGTCCTCCGCATAAACTGCGTAATATGGCAAATTCATACCGATTGACGTAATGACTGGAGGATCCGAATCCGACCCTGCAGCTGTCGCTTCCGCAGTAAGGGTACGAAATACTACACACATTGCAGGCTGGCAGGGGATGGCAGGAGAAACGCAAGGCAGAATATCAGCGCTTGAGGCATGTTTTACGCCCGCGTGAACAAAGCTCCCTGCTCGTACAAGTATGTAACTGTACAGGTTGAGAGAGTAAGAGAGAGAGAGGCAGGCAGGGAGGGAATACATGTTGTTGGATGCAGCCAATATCGATCGACCCGCTCGCGGGAGGCGGGGGGACATGCACGGGGGGGACAGGCTTCAATGACAGGCTGTCCATGGGTGTGTTGGGTATCTGGACTAAGTCTGGAAGGCTTTCAAGGGAGAAGAAGGGGGGAGCAGGACAGCTTCTGGGTTTGATTGTGCGAGGGTTCATGTACCTCATGGATGGAACCGGGCGTTGATAGCTTGATGATCATGGCGTGCAGCCATCCGAAAGTTGTTTGATAAGTGAGGCTTGGTGGTCCGAAAGACTTCGGGATCGCGACCTCGAGGGGCCTGGGATACGCGAATGAGGCCAAGGCCAGACAAAGAGTACAGTAGATGAGCAGTAGGTGACACGTCGAGGGTGACGACTGGGTTGCCCCCTCTCCTGTGCTCGCGTAGCCACAGCATACTCGTACATATGTGCCCGTATGGCCCTTTCTGTGCCACGGGACGAAGCAGTGCCAACGGCGAATCTCAAGGCAAATGGCTGTTGGGAGGGCGCGGGATGATGTGTGAGAGGCCCAAGAGGTTGCGACGGGCCTGGCTCCGAAGGGCGATGATTGGCCACGGTCCCGAATCGAGCGGCACGCGAAATGTCGCTGGCAGATGCGCCGTCCAGCCGAGCTGACGGATAATGCAGTTGGTGGACACGCTGGGCAAAGTGTCAAGTCATGGGTTTTGTTACTGACAATGAGCAGGAATCGAGATTCCGGGCTGTGGAATCGACCTATTGATGCTTGGTATTGTCCCGCCCCCTTGGAGGGATTGCAAGTCGGTTGGACCGCAGCTGGAGGCTACTACTATATTGTACCGCCTGGTGCTACCAAAGGGAGGAGAGAATTGAAACAGCGCCGTAGCAAGGATAGCTGCTGTATTACCGTGTGAAATGCTCGTACAGTATTGCAGTAGTGCTTCTCACCTGTAATTGCAAGGGATCAAATGGCGCTGCCGCTGATGGAAGAGGCCCAGTATTCAAGGATAAGGCAGTTGGCCAAAGCTCTGCTGCCGGAGTCTGGCAAGACCCCGAGTAGCCTATGGAAATACACGTTCCAGCAATCCATTGGATCCGAGTAGGGCTGTGGCTGAGAGGCTAGAACCTCTGGAATGCGGCACGTTGATGATGTCTTTGACTGACCTCGGAATTTGTCTCGTCCTGTAAGTTTTGGATTGCCGTTGAAGGCGGGAAGATGGATAGATATGTCTCTTAGGAGAATGACTGAGACACCAAACGGCGACCCAGCCAAGGCGCCGGTGAAAGACAAAAACGCTGCGGTGACTCAGGGGGGTTGGAGAGACAACCTGGCCAATGACTCTCTGGTGAGGAGTCAAATTACTCGGGCTTTGTAGCACGGAGCACAGTATCCATGGCGTTTTGGAAGTTCTTGCTGTCTATTGTGTTGGCTGGAGTGTGCGGCAAACCCACTGCGGCGAAGGCGGCCAAGCCAGGTGGCCGCTTCACGTGGCTTTTGGACTTTTTTTTTCTTCAATTCGATTGCTAGTAGCTGCGTCGTACAAAGTACGAGTACCTGCGTCTCGATCGAAAGGATACAAGCAAGAGGCTGGGGCATCAGTCAAGCAGAAAGCAGCTCTGCTCGGAATTCGGCGGAAAGCTGATGCTGCTGAAATCTTGGCGCCTAGGTTTGCAGAGGAAGCCACAAAAGGCAAATGCCGGGCTGCGTCTTTTGGAAAGGGCACAGTGAGGCAGTTGGGCTTATTCCATCCATGGCGGGAGAGCTGCTCTCAGCTTTGGGAGCCTCATTGTCGCTTGACATTGCCTTGATGGCGCGGAAGTGCTGAACGAAAATACCAGTGAGCAATAAGTATTCAAAGAGGGGGTTCTTTGTCTTGACCCGGCCTGTGAGAAGTAGGTATGAAGTGCTGATTGCGACTTGGAATGCTGGAAGGGGTTCCGCTCTCAGTCTGAATGTTTTACCGATGTGCATCTCGGGCTGTCGCCGAGCGTTGCAGTTGGAGGTTCATGCCCGGTGTTGGTTGCTTCACCACAGATCTATATTTTCCGTCACTAGGGGTGATTCCAACAGACGACAACCTCGCTTGAGCAGCAACGGCGGTGATGAGCTGCATCTCAATCTCCTGCCGTTGAAGCTACTGGAGATGCGCAGACAGACACGGACGGACGGACATGGGAAGTGCAGTGGTGAGTGAGTACATGTACATGTACGCGTATGCAAGGAGACGACGAAAATGCCACGGACGCTAGTACCAACTTGGTCCATGCAGACGACCCTCTTCTTCCCAGGTCTCTTTTCTCCTCCCTGCGGCAGCTCGTGTGCGAAATGCGTGCTATGGCAAGGTTCCTGTACCGATACCCAGCACTTGGCACGACGCGTGCTGGCCACAGCAGCCACTCCGGGGCGCCCTCGTGCTCGCACAGGGGACTTGGCGCAGGTGGGCACAGATACAGGTACCGGTACGGGGATAATACAGGGCCCTCGTGCTGTAAACCTGTATCAAGGGCTGCTGCCCAGAAAGCCTCCGCTGCAGTGCCCGATGTCGATATGCGCGTGCTTTTGGGCTAGCCCGGACACACAGGAGTCGAGCCTGTAGTACGACTCACAGGTGCTACCCCTACGTGCGTCACTTGTGCAGCCATCAGTGATATACATATTGAGAGGTTATTAACAGAGGAGCAATCATGGATGGAAAGTGAATGAAACGGAAAATACGCTGATGCGTGACGAGGTACAGAAGACCTGCTAAGCAGGATGGCCCAGCATGTTGCTTCAGTCAATGCTAGGTAAGGTATGTACCGCTACTTGTAAGCGGTGGAGCGCTGTGGCTTTTGCAGCTGGACGGGGGAGGCGAATCAATGCTCAGCACCGCCAGCGGCCAGCTCAGGGAAGTGGGGAGCGTCTCGGGTAGGCCATTGGGCCTTTTAGCTTTTTCCCTTGCTCGTTGCGGCGTAGCCTCGCCTGATATCGGTTCGATCGTACGATGTTCCTGTCGTGCATGCCTTTTGTCTCGTCTCGCACCTCTTCTCGCACCTCCGGCTGTCCGTACCGCATAGCCGTGGCCCAAGCCAGACAGCCAGCAATCCATCGCCGTGACCTTGACAGACAGCGCCCGACCAGACCATACGGAACTGTACCAGGCCGGGCCAGACCAGGTCCATCCCACGGAGGCTTCGATCAATCTATCTGCCGCCTGCCTTACCTTATTGTCCCGTCGATCCAGCGATCCATCCGCGCCTCCATCGTCGCAGCTCGGACTCTCCAGCCCAAGGTAGCCCGTGCAATCTCGTCCCAACGCCATCCCCCAACGGCCAGCGGGATTGAAGAAAAAAACAGACAGGAAGGGGAAAAAAAGAAAGCAAGGAAAGGAAGAAACAAAGGGAAGAAAATTATCCCAGCTGGGCTGAAGTCGCCCCCCTCCCCTTCTTACCTTACCTGCCACCAGCCCGATCCATCCATCGGCATCTTTCAGCCTTTGTTTTATTTTTCGGGCTGGTTCCTAGTTTTTCCCCTTTCATCCTGCCTCCTCGCAAAGTCCCGGCTACGAAGCTCTCAAGGTACCGACCGGCCTTATTCGTATGTTCCTGTCTGTAGCAATCGCTCTCTGATATCACCGTTCCAAAGACACCCCGTCGTGTCTGCGAGCGGCCATCCCTGGCCACACATCCCATCCCACACCCTCGGCAAAGCTTCTCGCTGGGCTGGGCGTCTGTCTCAGCAAATCCCGCGTTAAGCAGTCGACCCGCCGGCCAGGCAGGAGGGCAAAAAAACAGCTGATCTCATCGTACTATCGTCTGGTGAGAGCGTCCACTGCCTCTGCAACACTCAGTCCACTTTGCTTCGCCGACCGCACGATCCTCTGCCAACAATCGAGTCACCCTCTCACCCCCTAGGCCAGACCCTGCCGCATTCTCGCCTGGTCTCAGTCTCGAGTCTGTCGTCGCCTCGACTCGTCTCATCGAGCCCGGCTGTCGCTGCATGAGCTGATCCGCGAGGCGTTCCCCCGGTCTCTGCAGCCGCCCAGTTTCACCCCCCCCTCAAAGCGCCGTCCCCATGGCCGATGAGGATGGCTCCAACGGGCTTGGGTTTGACGACCCGAGCTTCGGCTTCATAGGCGGTGGCCCTGTATCTCTGGATGGCATCTCAGATGCGCCCATCTTCGGCGGCGATCCCTCGGCTCCTTTCGACGCTGGAGTCTGGCAGCTGGACGCCTCACCTCAGTCCAACTCGTACGATCTCGGCAGCAACACCACCCTCTCCTCCGCCCAGCCAGGATACTTGTCCCCGTCCTGGCCGACCCCGACCTTTGACCCGCGACAGCACCAGCCGCAGCAGTCTCAGCAACAAGCGCAGCAACAAGCGCAGCAACAAGCGCAACAGCCGCAGCAACAACCGCAGCAGCAACAGCAGCAGCAGCAGCCCGACCCTACCTCCTTTGGTCTGCCCAACTTCGACCCTACGTCAGTCTACTTCCCCGGTGTCGCGGCCACCAAGCGGGGCTCCCTCCCGGTTGCCAAACCGTCCCTACGCTCAGGAACCATCCTGAGTCCTGCCATGCAGGAGCAGCTGAGAAACATTGCGATGCCTCCTCACCTCCAGTACGGCTCACCCAAGAGCGCCTCGAGCCCGGAGTCGGCCAAGGCGGGAGCCGCCTCGTCGCCGGACGTCTCCAGCGGCTCCCAGAAGGACTCGCGGAAGCGCAAGATCTCCCACGATGACCTCGACGATGATGATCTTCTCGAGGAGGGCGGCAAGCCCGTCAAGAAGACGGCTCACAACATGATTGAAAAGCGATACCGGACCAACATCAACGACAAGATTGCCGCCTTGCGAGACAGCGTCCCCAGCCTGCGCATCATGAGCAAGAGCGCCAGGGGAGAGGACACGACGGAAGATCGCGAGGAATTACACGGCCTCACCCCCGCGCACAAGCTCAATAAAGCGACTGTAGGAAATCCATCCATTTTGATTTCGCACAAGGGGGAAAATGAGAATTGAGGGGTTTGTTCCATGTTACCAATGACTAACTGATGCTATAGGTGTTGAGCAAAGCGACGGAATATATACGCCATCTGGAGAAGAGGAATAACCGACTGATAGATGAAAACAGCGCCATGCATCAGAGAATTGCCGCATTCGAGAAGCTGTTCATGGCGGGCGCCATGAATGGCTCCGTGAATGGCTCCATGCCTCCCATGCAGCAGCCTACACCGACGCAGTATCCCCAGGATAGCCAAACACCACAGCAGTCACAGCAGCAGCTATCGCAGATGGCACCGTCTCCAATGGAGACTCCTCAGGAAGCCGGTGGAATGCCGACTGGTCTCATCGAGGTTCCAGAGGACATGAAGCGAATACTCTCCGCCCAAATGTCGGGCCAGCCATACCCCGTTCCTCAGCAGCTATTCCGCCCCAATCCGACGGTGGTCGGCCAGCAACAGATTCGACCAATGCAGCAGCAGCAGCAGCAGCAGCAACAAGGCCAGCAGGGGACATGGAGCTCTGCAAGCCCCTATTTTGGTAAGCTGATGGTAGGCTCACTCGCCGGACTGATGATATTGGAGGCGGTTCGGGAAGACGAATCCAGCAGCCAAGAGCCCCAGGGCCGCGGGCTGTTTGCTCTGCCCCTGCAGCTCTTCAGACATATACCCTCTCACCTCGATGTACGATTTGCGGGATACGACGCCATCTCGATCAAGTTCTTGCTCCTCTTCGGCCTTGTGCTGTGGGTCTTTATCCCCTCACTATTCTCGGCCATGGACCGAACACCCAAGAAGCAACAATCGGCTGCCGTGCAATCCGCTCCATCCTTGGCTTCCCCCATCGGTGTTCGTCGCCGCGCGTGGGAGACGGCCATTCAGACGGTTTGGGTGCCTCACCACAACTTCTTCCTCGAGGCGGCTGCGCTGATGCTCAAGACGCTCAAGCTGAGCGTGCGCAACGTGTTTGGCGTCCACGCCTATCATTTGCTGACCGGACTGACTCCCGAACAAGAAGTGGCCCGAGTTCGCGCGTGGGCCACGGCTCTCGATGCGCAGCTTACTGGAGGAGATGCCGAGATTTGCATGAGCCGTCTCATCCTCACACTGCTGGCGTCTGGGACTGTGCCAAATACCCCCAGCGGCCTCATGCTCAAGGCACTTCACGTCCGTGTGCTCTTGTGGGACCTGAGTCAGAAATGGTATCAACTGGGCTTGGTCAACTATATCGCCACCAAGATTGCCGAACGACAGTGGAACGCGGCTCGGGACTTGAACCAGAGACTAACCAACAGCCATCAACAAGACGAGGCGTGGGAGAAGAAGCGAGCCGAGTACATGCTGCCCGACCACCTGGCAGTGTTAGTCGAGCAGGAGTGCGACAAGGTCCTTACCCCCGCCGTCATCCAGCGAGCCCACAACCTGGCCTTTAACGTGGAGACAACTTACAACGCGATCGCGATTGACGGCATGGACTCGGTTGTCGACGATACATCGATTGGGTCTCCCATGGATGCTCTCGCAGCGTGGTGGTCGACGGCCAAGGTGCACGACATTCTCACTACGACACTGTACGGAGACGAAGCCGAGCCGGATGAAGAAGTGATGGAACTTGCTGTCAAGGCAGCCCCCTTGGGCTCTCGTGCTCGGGCACGGGCAGTCATGGCTCGTTCTGTCCTCGCTCATCATTCGCGCGGAAGCAACATCGCAGCCGCTGTTCAGGTCCTTCGCGTCGACGCCGATGGCGGCAACCTTATCGATCCGATGACCCTGGCATGCGCCGACGCCAACCCCTTTGCCGGCCGCGCAGCCGCCCCTCCGCCTCAGCCCAATCTTCCGGATCCCGACCTTCAGCTTTGCCTACGCTGCGCGACAGCTGCGGCTCATATCAAACGATTAGGTGGCCCGGCTGCCAGCAGCAAGCAGTATGTCCGCGAGTCCATCGAAAAGGTCATAGCCTTGGCAACGAAAACACAAATGTCTCTCTTGAGCTTTACGTCGGTGATGGAGGTTCTGGAGCAGATCCTAGCTCATAAAGATACCACAAATACTTTTGCACCACTGGTGGAGAGGCTAGCTGCCATCCTACGTCTTTGGATGGGGAGCCCGCTGGCACAGCAGTGCGGTGTACCGTCCGGATTACAAGACAAGATGATCACTAAATGCCTGAGGATCACGAAGATGGTGGTGGGCATGGAGGTGGACACAGGCTACGACAGCATGACGGACAACGAAGGGTTCCGATGACAGATGGCGAGCTTTGGAGAAGACTGAGGGGGATCTGAAGACTGTTTTCATCACACCGCATTCTGGGATTTGCATCACGACACTCCACTTCAATGGGCGTCTGTCTTTGGTTCCGTTTCTTTTTTATTGTCCTCTTTTCGCTTTCATTTTACAGTGGCAATCAGGTATACAACCGAGGACGACGGTTCGTACAGATAAAAACGATACCCCTCCGACCTGACAATGTATATATATGTGTTCCCTATCTGGATCGAGTCGCCTCATTACGAGTATTATGCAACAAGGCGGGAAAAAAAAACCTAGAGGCAAATTGGGAGAGCTACTGGGAGAACCGAGCACTATTGTGTTTCGCAGCAACATGTCTTTCTTTTTTCCTATTTCAATTATTTGGGACCTTTTACTACTCGTCTATTTCTTTTCGTGTTTTCACATTCTCGATTTCCTTGAAATACTTTCTATGGTGTATTTGTCACTGCGGTGCGATACCTGGCGGGACATGGTGACGGGGCCTAATGATGGCTTTTCATGAAAGACGGGATAGGACGATCCTGGAATAAAATGTTTTCTTTCAATGTGTTTGCCGTGAATGCTTGATGATTATCGTCTATCACGGGATATATGGCTGAGGATGGATTATTTACGAGGTCGTCTTCTTGAGGAAGCTTGAGTACTGAGCAAAAGAGCGAATGCAATATTCCATGGCTGGTGGAAGACGTCATGCCTATAGGGGAGATGATGAGGAGAGTTTACCTATACTTCACAGACGCTTACAGGTTTCTGTAGAATGCAGCTCGAGCTTTGTATCAAGGGCCAACGTGATGAGGTGCACTGGGCGTATAAGGGCTATTCGGTACTAAGTTGGAAGTCAACGTTCATGACTTTGCGCAATCGATACCCGTGATACGAGTCCGAAGCAGCAATTTCCAATGAATAAAGCCAAGGAAAATCCAGCAATAAAAGCTCGTCATGCTGGTATTCCACCTTTCAATAGCCTTCTTTTGCTCCCAAATCCAGGGCAAGGCTACTTACTGCAAGGCTCGTGAGATGTATGTACCTATGTATGTACTTTGATCCCAGTCTGCCACCAGGCTCCACACGTGGCACAACGTCATCCCGCTAACCCGTCCCCCAACTCAATTTACCTCAACCACAAACCACCATCTCATCTCATCTCATCTCATCTCATCTCATCTCATCTCTCAAGCTCAACAACCCTCCACCAAATCCCCGTCTCTCAACCTCCCAAACCTCTCACACCTCAACCTCCCCCCCCTTTTCACAACTCGGAAAAAATGGCTACGACAGCAACACCCCCACCTCTCCAACCCTCATCAAACCCCCCTCCTCCAGCAACGTCCTCATCGCCATCCTCATTCGTCTTCCCCCGCGAATACTCCTTCCCCCCGTTCTTCACCCGCCAGCCCAACCTCGCCATCCACCACGCCCAGCTCACCAAGTGGTCCGCCCTCGTCCTGGCCTACGCGCGCCACCGCCGCCTCTTCCGGCTCGTCGTCTCCTCCGCCGCCGAGACGGAGCTGTTTCACAATCGCGCCATCAACAGGAGGCTCAGCGTCGCGGACATACGGGAGGTGCTTGACTTTATGCGCAAGGACGGGAGGGCGGAGTTTATACGTGCTTCCTCTTCTTCTTCTTCTTCTGCGGTAGCGGCCGGTGGGGGTGGTGGTGATGTGGGAGGAGGTGCGGCGGCGGCGGGGGATGTGGTGCTGCTGTACTGGAGGAAGCCGGAGGAGTGGGCGGCGCTGGTGGAGGCGTATGTGGATGAGACGGCGCAAAAGGGGAGTGTGTTAACGGTGTATGAACTCACAGAGGGGGAAAACACCAGAGGAACAGGTATGTTGGACACGGGGATATTATTTCGGACATTGGGAGGATCGAGCTCATGCTGACGTTTGACGTGATAGAATTCCACGGCATGGATAATCAAGTCCTCATGAAAGCCCTCAACATCCTCGTCAAACAAGGCAAAGCTCAAATTTTTGGCTCCGAAGACTCCCTCGGTGTCAAGTTCTTCTAAGCCAGGAGATACTACGTATCAAAGTAAGATACAACAAGTACATACCACAAACAGACTCAGACACATCTCGGCATAGATATAAGCAAGCCGTCCCGCCGGCACCGACCAAGATGCCGCCCTCCTAAACTCCGTCATATGCTCGCATCGTCAAAGAGATGCCATGAAATTCCTCTCACAAAAGCCGACCCTACTCCGCGTCAATCAAAAACTTCTTGTCGAAACGCACTTGCTGCGCCATGGCTACATCGAGCAGCCAGTCCGGCGATACGATCCGCGGCTCCATGTGTCCCTTCTCCGCCATCTCCCGGAAGCGCGGCCACAGCTGCTTCTCCTCCGCGGAGGAACCGCTGAGGAGATAGACTGGGTCGGGAGGCAAAAAGTTATCCTGCTCCGCCGTCGTCGGCTTGATGGTCGATCCGCTTCGTGCTCGGTAAATCTTAAAGGTGGCGCCGTTGGCCTCTGCTATGGTGCGATAGCTGTCGGGCCCGTTCCTGACCTTGTCCGTGCAGTAGATGCCGACGTTGCGCAGGAGCTTGCCGCGGTGAGCCTTGGCCCTGGCGACCGACTGTTCGAGATTGATGTTGTATCTGGCTTCGGCCTCCTTGTCTTTGAGGATGAACTTCTCCACGTCGGGGATCTTACCCGTCTCGAGAATTTGGTCGATAAACGTGGATGATATGACGGTAGGACCGCGGGCCAGGGCGCACAGGAACTTGACCGTCCTGACAACGTGCGGCGCGGCCAGGTAGTCGCAGGGGTGGCCCTCTTGGACAATCTGGATTCCGAGATCGCGGAGTTTCCTCTGTAATATGCTGTTAGCGAAGCCCTCCCCCAAGGGCAAGAAATGGAAACAGAAAGAGCCTCAAATAAACCCACCCGATCTTGATCCTCCTTGGTCTGGTTGCCCACCCATCTCGGGAACCCCGTCAGGATAATGCGCATGTCAATCCCCGGCAGCGAAGGCCGTGACTTCTTAGCCGGGCGTTCTTCGTCGTCCCCGTCCTTGTGCGCCGCTGATTTCTTGGCGCTGCCCTTTTCCTTTTCTTTTTCCGTCAGCTCTGCCGCTTTCTTGCCACCAAAGGGGGTGCCCGGTTTCGTGCTTCTCTTCTTCTCCTTTTCGTAGAGAGCAATATCAGGCGCAATGGACGAGAGCTTGTCCATGGCTTTCGACTTGGCACTACGTCCGCCGCTAGACATGATGACCGGCGTCTCGTTTTCCTTATCGGCGCGTGTAGGCCGAGCGCGTGCCGGAGTGACCAGGTCCGCGCTTCGCCGATTCTTCCTCGAAGCGGCTGTCTCCTCTTCGTCCAACTCCATGATGTCGAGGTTCCTTTGTCCGGCCTCGGCAATCACCACGCCCTCGGCCGGACCATGCGAATACGCATTGCTTTCGGCAGCCTCGAGTATCTTCCTCTTCCTCTTCGCACTCGGTGACATGGTATGCTCGCCTCCGGGGTAGTACAAGTCCCTCAGCCGAGACTCGTTGAAAGAGGTCTGTCCGATGATCTCGCCCAGGTTCGTCCGGGACGGGAAGTGGTTGTACTTTTTGACATTGACCGGCTGCATCTCGCACTTGGCGTAGCTCTCTTCGATCCAGAGGTGGTTGACCACGGTGATGCCCCATTCAGGGGCAGCCTTGCACTTTTCGCTCGAGTTGCGGGCCGTTATCAGATGGGTGTTGTCGGTCTTCATCGTCCTAGTAAACTCCGCGCCACACGCCTTGATCAGGTTTTCGAGGTAGATCCGCGCCTCGCCGCCGTAGTTAGACACGGTAATGCGCTTGTCCTTGAAACCTGGGATGCCGTCCCTGGGAATGGGGTAATGGAGTAGCCGGCGCAGGGGCGACGTCCATTCATTGTGGACAATGAGGAAATAGAGCCACGACAGGTTGCCCACTTCCTTGCACGCCTGCGAGGCTCGCACGTACTCGTCCCCGTCTCGGTACCGGCAAACTAACGTATCGCACTCGTCGACATCCTCCACCAACCGACCGCCTCCATACTCGATGATATCCTTGAGGGCATTCTCGAGGCGCGCGGTGAGCTTAAGATCCTTGCATAGGAGAATGCGCTTGTCCTGGAAAACGGTGACGGGCGGTCTGGTCGAGTTGTCGTGGGACAAAGGTAAAAACTCGGGGTTCGCTGATGATGCTCCGACAAGATTCTTGTTCGCCGGAATGTCAAGATCCTCATCAGCGCCCTTTTTCAGAATCTCGGGATCTGGAAGAAGGTAGGGTCCCTCGTCGATTCTCTTTCCCAGCTTGAAGCAATCATCGAACCTATCCCAAGGACGGTTTAATGTACGATCCGTGCAAGATAAAACTGCATAAGACAGACTTACCAGTGCGGTAAAACAATCTTGCCCTTCCAATTCCTCTCCTGCGCAGCCACAACCTTGGGATGGTCCATGGACAAGGCGCAAATGTGCGTAGTCATCCTGCCCGCATCCTTCGACTCCTGTCCGCCCAGGGCCATGACGGCCCCGAGGATGCTCTCCTTGTCCATCTGCGGCAGATCCGCGCACGTAACGATGACCTCGGAGAAGATCATGCGGGGATCGGGCGAGAAGGGGCGGACCTGGGCCTGCTTCCGGCGGGTGATGGAGACGGTGATCCATTGCGTCGTGACGACGGGGATCATGACGGCTTGGGTGTTGATGTACTGCGGGAAGTCGATGGTGTTGGAGATGATGTGCGTGACCCGGTCGATTGGTATTGAGCCATCGCGTCGGGGCTCGACAGTCGTGGCGCCGTTCTCGATCAGGATCGTCGAGAGCTGCGCGAGGAAGCTCATGGGTTAGATGTTTGACATGACTTTTATTTGACGGCGCGAGCTGGAGAGAGTCGAGGACGTACACTGTGAATCAGGTTGGGAGCCAGCGAGTCGCTGGGCACGAATGCGATGGCGCAGTCGCTGAAGATGCCCTCGACGTCATCAGCCATGGCGGTGATGATGTCGCGAACCAGCTATCTCTCTGTGGTGGGAAGCAGCAGATGCAATGTCACTGCATAAGGCAGAGGCTTGGTGAAAACGGCCTGTCTGCGTTAACCAAAAGACAGTTGCCCGATGGCAGAATGCCAATGTCAAGAGAGGTTGTCAAAGAAAGAAATCGCAATGGTAAAAGACGAAAATTGACGTCGCCAAAAAGCAGGGGCGCGCCTTATCGCTGGTCGCTTTTCTTTGGCTTTGTTTGTGGCCAGACGCGCTCCTGCTGCTCTCTTTACGCGAAGAAGGCAGGCTGTCACATGACCTGGGCGGGTATCGATACTTTGCTTAGCTGAGTATGCTCGGCGGCGGCGGCGGTAGCGGTACTCCTGGGACGCGAGTGTTTAACGCGCCCCGTTGGACCTTTGGACAGCTATTTAGCGCTGTACCGGGTGCCTTTAAGAGTGGAAGAAGATTCAGAGCGCCCATCAGACCAGAAGACCAGATATCAAAGGCCAAGGTGCCAACTCTTATCATTTTGAGAGCATGAGTTTGTTCATGATGGCATGCGATTATATAAACAGAGTATTGAAATGCTTTTCTTTTTCACCAGCGACTTGCAATGCAATATATATACCTCTTGTCGCGGCTTGAATCTACATGGCGCAACATTCGCTCTTTGCAGCAGCGTCCCGTCAAATGCTCCCAACTATAGGTACCCATCGCCCACCAAAAAGAAGCCAAGAAGAAAAAGAAAATTACAAGGAATCGGAAGAAACATACTTACATCCAAGAAACAGAAACAGGACAAAAAGGGTTTATAGGAATGACAGCAAAAAAGGAAAGAAACCCCGGCAATGACGCCAGATGGAAAAGGAGCAATGCTTGAAAACCCGGCGCCTCTATGCATCTCCCTCGCACACCCCATATGTATATCCCAGTAAACATAACCCATCATTCCAGGTATCATGTCTCGCGCACAAACGCACTTTCTCCGAAACAAGCACGAAAAAGAATGTGAGAATTTCGTTGTTTTTTTGTCATTGGGCAAGATGTCCTCTCATGAGTCCACGCACGCCAGTGCCACGGCAGCTCCTGTGAGTGAGCTCTCCTTGGCCGAGACAAGCTCGATGGCCTTTGGCTGGCTGGATGGGTGAGTGTCCATCAGCTCGTTGATGTACCGTTGGCAGTTCTCCAGGTAGCCCGGATAGTGCTCAATGACACTGCCGTTGAATGCGACAGTCGTCTTCTCCATCTTGATGTCCTCCTCGACCTTGGCTCGCAGGGGGGACGACTCGGGAAGGGTCGAGAGAAACTTCTCGTCGCCCTCCAGGCGGATATCCCACAGAGCGTAGACGGCGGAGGCGATCAGTGCGCTTGAGCGCACAGAGACAAACGACGCAATCGCCTTGATAGCGCTCATGTCAACAACGCTGGGAATATGGGAGGAAGGGTATTTTTCCGAGAAGCAACTGATGGCCTGTGATAAGTCGGCGCTGGTGTCACTGAAAAAGGCGGAAGACGTTAGTCATACGGCAGGTTGCCCGGAATCAGCAAAGATGACTTACCCCTCTATCAAGGAGATGACCTCCGTACCCAGCGAATATAGCTCGGTCAACGAAGGCGGGAGGATGCCGCCCAGAAGGCCAGTTGTCTGGATCGCCTCCACCATGATTAACCGGACAATCTCGCCGAGGTACATGCCGCTGGTCATGTACTCCAAGGGCTGGAAGTCGGGTCTGGGGTGCTCCTTGAGCAGCTGGAGGTCCCATCGCGTCAGAGGCAGAATCTTGCCACCAAACATGCCGAGCTCTGTGTTGACAATGACGTGGGAAGCCTCGTCGAACCAGCCCGCCGGCCGCTCGCCGAATTTCGCTCGGCCAATGGATGAGACGGGCAGATAGGCGGCGATGTTGACGCCGGTGCCCAGGATGAGGCCGAATCGTGTCGATGAGTGAGAGTACGCCCGCGATAGCAGGCAGGCGCTCGAATCGTTCAAAATGGCCTTGAGCTCGACGTGCAGATCCTTGCTCTTGCATGCAGTCCTAACGATGTCTCCCAAATCTTGCCCGACCAGGCCAATGTCGGCCAAGAAGCCCTTGCCCATGGCCGCAAGTCTGCCACCACCAAGAGAAGTTTGCCTTGTTTTGATCTGTTAGTTGCAAGCACGTAATAATCTGAGTCGTAAAAGAGGTAGGGTGCTCACTCGATGGGAAAGCTCCATGCCAGAGCAATAGGCAGGGGGTTTTCGGCGCTGTGTGGTCTGTTGAGGGTGCTCTGGATCGTCTCGGTAATGCGCGCCGCCATCCACTCGAAAAAGGCCATTCCCTCGAGATCCTTGATGTCCTTGGTGATGCGGTAGTTTTGTATGCTCACGATCTCGGTGGCGCTTCCGGAATCGGCCCCCCGTCCTCGCAGCTCAACCAAGGCCACTCGCAGCGTCGATCCTCCCACGTCCAGGGCCAAGTACTGTCCAACCTCGGAGCCCGCTGGCAGCTGATGGCTGTATGACGGCAGCATGCACTGCATATCCACGCTGAGCCCCTCCAAGATCTGCTCCTTCAACTTGGCCGAGATCTCCTGCAGGCCATTGCCGCTGATGGGACCGACCAGGGCGGCCTCGGCATCCTTGAGGAACTGCGCAAGCGTCTTCTTTGGAACGCTGCTGCTCTTCTTGTTTCCCGACAACCAGTAAGCCAAGATGGCCTCTATCAGAGACTTGCCCCTAAGCAAGCTCTTGACGATGGCGGCCACGAAGGCTTTCCGGAACTGTGCCATGGCTGAAGGCTGTTGGGGATATAGCATGAACGAATGAAACAGAGCAGGCAAGGAATTAAAGAGGGCGAAAGATGTATGATGAATCGGAACGGGTTAGGGCGAGAGGAGGGCTGATATAAGAAAGATACAAGTAGTATACGAGTCTCTAGGACATAAGCAGGATGTGGGTTGGGTAAACAATGGTCACCAGCCAAAGTAACGAGGGTGATGGTGCAAGAAGGTCCGCGACAAGTGAGGGAATCGAGGTACACGCTGCTCCGTACCAGGAGAAAGCGACGTCGTAAGGTGCTGTATGTATGTAGGAGTGACTTGGCAATGCAAGACAAAGCGTCCAACACGAGGTCTGGCTGGGGCCGATCGACAGGCACAGGCTGATGGATCAGTAGCTGCTGGAGTGGCGGTACAAACAGCAGCAGCAACAACAGAAAGCCGTTGGGCCACCAGAAAGGCAGAGATGATGGTGAGTGGTACAAGTGAAAGGAACCCGAAGCGATGGAAGGGGAAATGGAACCTGCCCCCGTGCTGATGCAATCTCGGGGCTACGGCCACCTCACAGCTGGCAATGGGGTGAAGACGAAAGAGGGTCGCGAGAGGGAGAGAGGGCGAGAAAGAGGGTCGTATGGGGAAGACGAGGATGCGGCCGTCCGGCCAGGGCGAGTCGAGGGTTGGGCACGGAGCAGTCCGTACTCGTACGTGACAGGTGATAGGTTGGCGAGTGAACCTTGAAGTGTCGGCTGGATGTCAATAATATGGCATGGACTGGACAACGGAGTGGGAGTGCTGGCAAGGCGGAGGGCCGGCGAATGGCAGCGTCCGGATGGCCACAGGAGAGCAAGGTGAGCGAGCGGAAAGGTAACCAGCTCCTGTTAGTCGCGGTCCTTGTCCTGCCCGTTCCAATGTAATGTAATGTATGGTGGCAGGCCGGTCAGCATAGGTTACAGGGCATGCGCCGCGGGCTAGCCAGAAAAGCTGGCGATCTGGGCTGGATGGAGCTCTGTCGCGTGCAAGGCTGCCGAGAGGCTTGTTGTTCGCCTTGGTTTGGGGCCCAGGAGATCAACGTCGCACGGTATTACGGTGGAGCCGTCAATCAGTGAGAAACCAGGCCACTGGGCAGAGGACGGTCCGTAGGTAATTGTAAAGTACAAGCAGATGATTGAGGCTGGAGGTGGCTGGTACAGTTCTGTCTGCAAAGGGCGAGCAAGAGAGAAAGGGAGGCAGCTGGGCGGGATGGGGGTCACATCGGGGGCTGGCGACGAGCAGCGAACTCTTCGCAGGCACGCGCTCACTTGCAGCGGGAAAAGACAGCAATACGAAGCAGGTGAAGAACACAGTGGCGCGTGTGCCGTACTCCATACTTTCCCCGTATTTGGCACCGAGACACGCCCTCAAGGGTCTCGAGGGCAGAGGGATGGCGAGACAGCACGAGCTTCCATGCCCTGAAAAACGTCGACGTCTCCAGCGAGCCAAAGGGGGCCCCGTCTAGCGGGTGGAGAGGCAGCTGGAGGGTGTGGCGCCTCATCTCCAGGACACGAGAGGCAGCGCGAGATGGACGGACCGTCGAGAGGAGGCGCAGAAATCAGTGCAAACGCGATAGAGTCAGTCGAGTTGTGGTGTTGTAACGTTGCGGCGGAGGCTGTTGGTAGCGTGGAGGGGCCAAGTTCGTTGTTGACGGCGACTAGACTAGAGGCGGGATGGACAGGGTTTGTCGGAGAGGCCAGGCATCAGATGGTGGGACGGGCCCAGCTGCCCGGGAAATTTTGCCATTGGACGCGTCTGTTTCTGTGCTGGAAATTGCAGCGAGGTGCATGGACCGCAATCCCTCAGGTAGCATGGAATGCTGCGAGCTCGATGCTACTGTACTTTGAAGTCATAGTGTCGTTAATTATAGACTCGTTTTCTCATCGATTCATGTTGTTTCGTTTCGGTGTGCAGTCCAGACCCATGCCACACAGCACAGAATCATTGACTGCTCGAGATGCATTGCATCCAATGGATCAGCATCAATCAATTTGGCGCTGATCCACTGAATCTGTAGCGCACAAGCCCCCCAAAAATTGATACCAGAGTGGATGCTCCCCCATGGCTCTCTCTCCAAATCGGTACGTACCTCGACCTCTTCTCCAAATTCAATTCCAACGTCTCCAACAGCTTTTCCTTGCACACTCGCCCATTAGATAACCTCTACCTCTGGTAGGGGTCAACTCTTCACTTCTTTTGAGGAAACACCTTCGGCAAGAGTTCAACCGAAGCAAATGCTTGCTTATACAGCTGCTCAGCTGCGATGCCCTCTATGTACTGCTGCCCTTTCCAGTTGGTTGAGCGAGTTCAGCCAGCAAAGGCGACTCGGGGTGGAGGCGTCTGGTGTCTCTTCTCGTGGGGTGAGCATACCTACAAGTACATGGCATCACATCCCGTTGGGCCAGGCTCTATTATCGTATACAAAGCTACTCGGTAGGTCCTACGGATATCATGGTACTAGTACTAGGTATGCTTAGGTTCCGAAAGGCATGCATCTCGGCGCAAACGCTAAACCTCAAGCTCGAAACGCTCGCCCTCAGAACCCCAGCTTCATGGCCTGCCTCGGCTGCAACCGCCTTCCTATACCGTACCCAAGGGCCTGGCACTTCATTAATGCAGATATCGTACAGATAGGGATGGAGATAAGAAGCCGCCGTTGATAGATACAACCTCGTGTACCAGGTAATAACGGACGTGATTGCATCGAGACACTTACATGGTGTGCCGTCCAGTAGATGGCGCAGATAAGCATCTCCACGACCTTGCTCCTGCTCTATTGGTATGTTCCGCACGAAGCAGGGTAACATCGGCGGTATATCAAACCCGAGAGCATATTTCTGAGCCATTCATAAGATGGTCTAACCCTCGTCGATGGAAGTGCTGATGCCCTGGATGAGCCAGGACACTGCGAGCACACTTGCCCAGGGACATACTGTACGCACGAGTATTAGGTCCTATTGCAGCCTCGCATCGCACACGACAAGTTGGCAGCTGAAAGGCATCTGACGAGACATGGATCTGGAGCCTGGCCAGTCTTTGCAGACAACAGGCGTGCGTATTACGACTGTCAACCGGCTCGTACGAAAGTATGACAGAATGCTACTCGCGAATGCTTGTGTTACGGGCACGGTATACGTTACGGACGTCAAACGTTCATGTTGCCTCGGTGTCTCAAGACGTGGATACAATGGCAGGAGCACAATACGACGGCGAGGTGGCGCCCCAATGATGGAGACAAAAAGACGATGAGATGATATGAGACAATACTCGCATCACCATGGAAGTGGTACCGTGAAAGCGTTGGTATGAACGGGAGACGAGTCGGACGACAACTTTGGAGTCACAGTCATGAACGACTGGCCAGTGTTGGACGAGAACCTCGATCGACCAGGGTACGAGTCCATACAAATGGCTCTCTGGAACATTGAAAGCAACGGGATGCCATGATTCAGACTGCATCGCATCGACATCATTTCGCAGACAAAAAGCGGCCCCGCTGAACGTTTGACGGGTGTAAGTTACATGCAACTCGCATCGCCTCCGTTCTGTCACGTACCACCGATCCGGCAGTGGCCACTTTTGATCAACCTTGATGTCCCACAGCACAGACGGAGTGCAAATAACACGCTCTGCTCCAGTTTGCCGGGAGGAGCTTCGTGGATGGGCTCTCAAGTTGCATTGAATGTCCTCTTTTGGCGTGCGGGTGTTGGGCTTCTGATTGGCTGCCCTAGCCGGCAAACGGCATGGGAAACGGAGGCATTTGATCCCTGTCCGTTTTGGACGTTCCCCGTTTTCCTTTTTCCAGTGCCGCGGCATTGCAACAATTGGCGTCAAATCGAACAACTCGACGACAACATGATGCTTGTTGCGGTATTATAGAGGGCCCATCAACTCATTTTTCCTACTGCATCCATTCCAAGCCCATCAATGATGCTACTATTCGCTCCCCACCAGGTTCAAATCACTGCTTCAGTAAAGAGTAGATTGGTGCTACGAATACTACCTATTGCAGCCCAGCTGGCAATACGGGGCCCCTCGATGGTGGCGCCCAGCCGATGGAAGCATGCAGTGACGTTCCATCGAACCCAGTTTTCTTCTTCTTCTCTCTTCTTCGTCTCTCTCAACCTCATTAGTATTGCGAGTAGTACTATTGCCACACACACTCACGCTCACACTCAAATCTTTCTCCCAAATGTGCCGGTCCACTTACATTCCCAGCGCGGCTCACATGGCACCTCCCAACGGGTCCTAGTCGGCCGCTGCACTTTCGATTCGGGAGCTGTTAGTGCAGTACATGCCCGTCACCTCTCGACTTACACACAACATGACAGCTACTAGTAGTAAACACACACGCCCCCCAGCAAAGCCGTCCCTCCTCCCGTCGCCTCCGTCAGGTTCCGTCTCGGACCCAGAGGGGAGAGGCGCCTGTAACTCTATCGCCTTGTCCCATGTGTCAGTAAACGCCGTCCCGGATAGGGTACATGTAGCAAAAAAGCAGCAATTTTCGCAGTACCTTCTGATGACATGACAACTTTTTTTTTGCTGTGTGTCTTAAGCGCTCTTCCGATTCAGGACCCTGTGGGCAAAGTTGCATGTCGCTCCCTCGAAGGGGCCCCTCCTCCCCTCCTCTCATAGAAACTGGGCTCTTTAAGCCATGGAGCCGGTTGCCTACCCTTCTTTCCTCTCTCTCTCTCTCTTCTTATGAAAAAGTTTCTTTTCCCTACCTTATCACTAAACAAACTTCCTCTCCTCTTCCCTGATAACTTAACCTGGCAGAGAGGCATCAGCAGCTTTTCTTCACTCACCTAATCCTCATCCATATCAGTCCACGCATCTTACTCATACACTCAACTCACCACTCAGCCTCCGACCTCCCCGGAGCTGTATATCCCGTTATCCCTCATACAATCTTCTTTCATCTCTCTCTCTCCCATACGCTAAATCTCCTCCGTCACCATGCGGTTGATCATCCGTGACGATGCCGAGGGCGCCAGTGCCTACGTCGCCAACTACATCATCAACCGCATCAACACCTTCCACCCCACTGCCGAGAACCCCTTCGTGCTCGGCTTGCCCACTGGCTCCAGCCCCCTAGGCGTGTACAAGATCCTGGTTGAGAAGTACAAGGCCGGCGCGGTAAGTCAGAAGCTCGACATGAGATCTCTGCAACTGTAGTAGCTAATAGTACATCAACAGGTCTCATTCGAAAATGTCATCACCTTCAACATGGACGAGTACGTGGGCATCCCCCGCGACCACCCCGAGTCCTACCACACCTTCATGTGGAAGCACTTCTTCTCCCACGTAAACATCCACCCCTCCAACGTGCACATCCTCAACGGCAACGCGCCCAGCCTCGAGGCCGAGTGCGTCGCCTACGAGGACGCCATCAAGCGGGCCGGCGGCATCGACCTCTTCCTCGCGGGCATCGGCGAGGACGGCCACATCGCCTTCAACGAGCCCGGCTCCAGCTTGGCCAGCCGCACCCGTGTCAAGACGCTGGCCTACGACACCATCCTGGCCAACTCGCGCTTCTTTGACCACGACATTAGCAAGGTGCCTCGCATGGCCCTGACTGTCGGTGTCCAGACTGTGCTCGAGGCCAGAGAGGTTGTCGTCATCATCCTGGGCCAACGCAAGTCGCTTGCCCTGCAGAAGTGCATCGAGGAGGGCGTCAACCACATGTGGACGCTGTCCAGCCTGCAGCTGCACCCCCACCCTATGATTGTCGTGGACGAGGATGCCACTCTGGAGCTCAAGGTCAAGACGGTCAAGGTAAGGGGACTCCCGCACTCGTGTTTTTGCTGTCTGCTTCATGAGCTGACTTTGGAAATCTGTACAGTACTTCAAGAGCATCGAGAAGGTGGCCATGGACGCCGGCTTCGAGCAGATCCTGCCGTCCAAGGTCCGCACCGGCAACGGCCCCATCCCCCAGACCAAGGTCGAGGAGGTGTCGTCGCCCACCATCCACGCTCCCCAGCCCACCACCTCGCGCCTGCTCCGGGCCACCCCGGCGACCGAGTACCCGATCCGGTCCGTGTCTCCGGACCTGGTGCCGGATCGCATGGCCTCCCGCATCCCCGAGCCCCACCTGACGGACAGGCTGACGCCGAACCCTGAGCAGCAGGCTGTTCAGAACCCCATTACTGCTTAGATGGAGTGATGTGTGAAAAAATGGCGTTTTAGAAGGGGTTTTGGCTCTCGCTTTTATTCTCTCGTTTTTATTTTGGCTTTCCATGACAGGTTTTTTTCATCTTTTCTTTTCTTTTTTGGGTCTTGATTGAATGGGGCATTGATATGATGTATGTATACCACAATAGAAATACAAAAAAGGATTAGGAAAAAGGTTGAACGCCTGTTCAAATGTGTATGACAGTGAATGCTCTATCTTTCTGTTCTCTTTCTCGCTGTATTGATATGTCTGTTCCTCTTGTGGTTCCATGTCTCGAGGCATTGGTCGTCATTGAAGCTCTAGGGTGGAGCACATGTTCCGACGCGGGTCTGACGGATAAGACATGCACGTTCATACGAGGTTAATCGAGCTCGAAAGATGGGCATGACAACTAATGTTGAATGAAGTAAATTTTGGCTAGTCCGTCATCAATAAATCAGAAAAAAAAGGACGGCTTAAAGACACATTTCAGCGGTCGTTTGGGCGAATTCCAGGACTTATCACGATGGGCTCTCTTTTGGGTCGTTGATAAAGTACCTACATCGTATCAGAAAGAAGGGGGATAGCTCATGAAAGCCCTTACACTACAGACGAAGAATGTCACTTGTCCGTTCATTTTCGTTTCTCATCAGAAAAGAAGGTTATTTCAATTGGAGCTGCGAAGGGGATTGTCGTCTGGAGCTCTCTGGCCTTGTTTTCCGTCCAGCGGAAGGGAGATGATTACATGTATGCTCTTTGTCTGTCAATTGCCGAACACTACGATGTCTCCCAGCAGAACAAGTGAGGATACAAGTATCATATGGACGAACCCATAAGAGATATTCAAATCACGAGACCAAGAATTGACGAGAAAGAAATTGAACAACACAGAGAAAAACCAAAAAGTGTCCGATGCAATGCAAATGCATGCATCAATCACCCCACGAGATTGTAATGCCTACCTTAACTGCCTAGGTAGCAGGCCGGCATACAAAAGCGGAACCCCCGGCCGGTCGGGCCTGAAAAATGGAACCAACCGCGACGGCTACGTTCCATTTGCATCCAAGCCTGTCAATAACACGAATCATGTTATATTTCATCAGCTCACTCTCATTTCACACCTCCATGTCTTGCAATTCTTCTCATTTCCTTTTTCTCGTTCTACTTATTCCTAACGTGACTGCTGGACTTGCAAAGAGCCATAGAATATGGTGGTACGATCCGAGCCCGTCAGTTGACCGACCATACGGCGTTGCCTCAGAACAACCTCGTCCGCGCGTCTCTCTGCTTTTGCCTCGCTCTACCATCAAGACGGCTACAATGACCTGTCGAAGACCTTCGGCCAGGCGATAAGTCAAATATTTCAAAATTGCAGCCAGAGAAGCAGTCACTGAAGCCCGAAATACGAGCAAACAGGCACAGCATTTCCCCACGATCAAACACCAATCCAACACCGGTTTCCAAACGAATGTTCTACATGTTTTTGTTGCCCCTGACTTCGATATGCACCTAACCCCACGATTCGACATGGATAAAAGGAACAAGATCCAAAAGAAAAGCAACAGCAAAGAATCGGTAAAGAATCAGCAAAAATCCCCGGGTATAATATCCCTGCAATGTCCCAGTCATGTCGTTTGACGAAAATAGCCCACGACGAAACAAAATCCCTTGAATACACGGATCCCCGAGCGACAGATGGGGGGGGGGGGAAGAACCCGCACTATGATACAATGAAACGCTGCGGCCCGTAGGATGCGGCTTCGTGATGTCGTAAAAAAAAAGTCCCTATTGAAAGTTCGCCGTGATCGAATGCACTTCTGGTGTTCGCGATACGCAAACCGAGAATCGACGTTTAATCGGCGGTAAAGTAGCGCTTGACCTTGCGGCCTATCTGTTGAGCCTTGAATTCGGGGGGCGCAATGGTATGGTGCACAATGTGCGGCCTATATACAGCGTCGACTGGCGGCATCCTATAGGTACTGGGTCAGTCTCCTCTCCTGGCCTCCTTCCGTCATTCAAGTGCTTCTCTTACCAGTCGTCCACGCTAAGAGGAAAGTATTCGTAGAGAGGATCTGCTTCCTCGGCCGGGCTGTTGCTGGCGTTTTGGCCATTCGCCGGGTAGGCCTTGGATAGCTGCGGGCTCTGCAGCTCAGCACTTGATCTGTTGGGGCTCTTTTCGTCCTCCGATAGCGACAGGGTGATGGGGACCGCGGGGTTCGGCGGTCGCGAGAAAGAATTTCGATGGTTCGGCGGAGGGGGCTTGATCGTAGGGTTGTCTACCGTCCAGGCCGGGACGGGAGGCAGTGAAACTGTAGGAGAGAGAGCCATGCGCTTCGCTGGGTGTGGGCTCTGGGTGGGCTGAGCGACGGCTTGTGGCGTAGCCCATTCGTTCCCATTCGACTGGGACAAGTCTTGTCAGCCTCTCTTGGAGTATGAAACAGCATGCCTCCCACGCAAGGCCATGACGTTCTACGGGTTCACACTTACAGTTGGGTATCTCGGCAAGGAAGCAAGCAGACCGTCCCGCTCCGCCTTCGGAGTAGGATTGTCGGTGCTGTTCGTGTTTCTTCTCTCCAGCTTCTTGTCGCCCGTGAGGTGCACGTCCTTCCTGCTGTCAAAGTTGCGCGGACTTCGCCCTCGAACAATGACGGGGCCGGACTGGATCTCGGCAATCTTGATAATCTCCCCCGTCTTCGTCTTGCCCAGAAGATTGATCTGCACTACGTAATGCTGCTGCAGCCCCTTTCGCCGGCCGTTGTTAGCGGTGGCATGCTTAAATTGCAGCCTCTTCCACGAGACAGGGAGGGAGACCCTGTTGGCGTCAATTTCCCGGCCAGTGGTCAGGTCGAGCGTCATGTTGGGGGGTGCCGCGGCGATCTTGCTCTCTTCCAACTGAGGGGTTGCGCCTTTCCACGGTATGGTGATGATCTCGGCGGCCTTTCCTTCAATCGATTCCAAGCCTGTTATGGATGCCGACAGCTCCGTGATGGCGATATGGCGCCCCTGTTCGTCTATCACAGTGTTCACCGCCCGGGGCAGCGTGATTTGGCCCGAGCACTGCCACAGGTTGCGGCGATAGCACGTCAACTCCAGCGGACGGCCAGTGTTCTCCCCGCCAAACACATCTTCGGCAACAAAGAACATGCCGTACAGCTCGGCCGTCATGTTCAAGTCTGCAAAGGCTCCCGCTTCATCCACAATGGTCGCGTGCATGGTCGGGTCGGAGAAGCCCAGGAGCTTGTTGTCCAGCTCCTGGGGAGAAGCCTCGTCGTGGGCAACATCATGGTTGGCGACGGGCTCGAACGGGCGGGATGAATAGGAAAAGGGATCTTCAAAGGTGGTGACGAAGTTGTCGAACTCGTACGAGGGCGTAAAAGGTAGAGGAGCCAGCGCGCTGCCATCACTGTATGCGGTTGTGCCGAGGTGTTAGTGGCAGATCTCTAGGGGCAAGGGGACGGGCGTGGAAGGGCTGAGGTGAGAGCGGGAAGCGGTTTGCAGCCGCGCCACAGGTAAAAGGCCAGCACAACGGGCAGACGACATACAGCAGAGAATCGTGAAAGTTGAGGTCGGGATCGAAGGAGTCCATGGTCATGGGCTGGGGCGGGCCGTGGTTCATGCCCATCGCATCGCTGGGCGCCGCAGGGGCAGAAGGCATGGCCGGCATGGAGTTGAAGGCAGCCATGGCATCATCCAGCGCAGCACGTAGGCATCGAGTCGCAGATGGTGTTGCCGCGAGGGGGGAAGACGGGCGAGAGGGCGCGGGTGAGGGAGAGACGTGGTGAGAGGTGAGGAGCAGCAGAGGCGTGGTCGAGGTTCGGTGTGTGGCGAGGCGGGATTCGAGGTCGTGGATCGCAGAAGCAGCGGCAATGACGCCTGGCAGCCAGCGTCTGGAGAAGCAGAGACGTGAGCGCAGATGGGGAGATGATGGAGGTTCCAGGCACGGGACAGCAGCGATAGGGCCGAAGCGACGTCCGGTTCGGGGGCTCTAGAGCCCTGCGTCCGCTACGACGGTGCTAGTAGTAGTAATTGATGGGGTGCAGTGCAGTGCAGTGCAGGCTGGAGGGCGCAACCACTCAAGCCGGGGTGTGTGAGCGATGGAGCGCAGTCCGGCCTGGTACCTAATTTTTATTCAAGAGGTAAAGGTAAAGAAAGGGCTTTTTCGACACCGGTTCATTTCATCTTCATCTATTGGGCGCCGCGCCCTGGGAGGTGGAGGCGGGATGGCTAGAGGAGGCTGGAGGCACGCGGGCTGGCGTCGCGAGACCCTCCGCAGGCATTTTGGATGGACGCTTGAACGCTCTAGAGCGCTGGGAAAGCCGGGGGAATTTTGGGGTAAAAAATGGATGGACGGAAAACCCCGCCGTTCGAGGGCATGTACACACTCAATTAAAGGGCCGCTACTGTACATGTCCCTTGGAGCCGTTGCACTGCAGCAGAGAGAGAGGAGGAGAGAGAGAGGTGACATGCAGCTGGAGTGACTGGCCGTCGGGATGCCGACTAACATGCACATGTGGTGTTGAGGCCCTCGGCTCAGCGGGAGTCTCATCGCTGCCAATAAGGTACCTAGGTATGGATGTGCTGATAACACAACGGAACGTTTCCAATCAACTCAAACCGCTAGACCATCGAAAGTTATCTCTGCGGCATGATTTGACGCTGCCCGCCGTTCGTTATCTTGCAAGCAGCTACATGTACCTATCGGCGAACTTGCTGTATCCACTGCTATCTCGTCAAGCTGATCCCATGGATAATATCCGCGATAATACTGCAGAAGCTCGCTCTATCTAATCTTTCAATCAGGCACCTAAGCCCCTAGATTACAGATGCAGCCAGTAGTATCTCTGCCTAGATACGTGATCCATCCTCGACCTCTTCTCTTCTAATAACCGTCTACAACGCACACCGAGACGACATGAATCCGACGACCTGAACTCCCGACATGTGCTTCCTCCATCCTCCTCCTCCATCCTCCTCCTCCATCCTCCTCCTCCTCCTCCTCCTCCGGTCCATCCACCCCCCTGTCTCGCCACTCCGATTCCTAGAACCCGCTCAGCTGCTCCAGTCCGGGGTGCTCAGCGCACTAGCCCAGCAATCTGCTCCCACGGTTGGTCGGCAACCCGCCTCTTTTCGCTCGCTCGCTCGCCTGGCGCCATTTTCATTACCCCATGGGCAGGCAGATTGCTTGCGACAGGCGAGCAGTGAGAAGCGAGTGCACTCTACTCTACTCTACTGTACTCTACTCTACGCTGGGTCTTGGCAGATGAGGATGGGGAAATGATGATGATTTGATACGCGCCACTTATGAATCCTCACGCATTTTTTTTGCGATCAAGGGGGCTGAGAAGATGCCGTCAGCCGTCGCAGAATTTCCAAGACAAAATCCGGAGAACATGCCAGAAAACCAGCAGCAAATGATGACGGATTCGACGGGGCCCTGAAGCATGGACGTCTGAGCGCGAGAAGCGGAAGCTGACTCTGACGGCTGGGGGTTCGCGGCTCGGCAGATTGAGCTCACTTGCAACAAGGGCAGCATAAACGGAAAAAGCTCAGAGCAGCATTGCTTGAAGTATTTCCGGCCGCTGACTGACGGGACTGACCTCAAATTTAGGAATATTGTTTGTTTCTGTTGCCAGTACTATTTTGAAATTTTGAAATACCTAATGCGGATCTGCTAATGACGCCCTGCGATTTCCGAGAAAAATCCCCCAATCTATAAAATAGAGAACAGAGAAAAGGAAAAAGCAAAGACTTGTCCCTTTTTTATTTGATGCATGTTGTTGTGTGAGTGTGTTTTGTGTGTGTAAAAAGATCCCTGCGGCAGTCCGATGCATGTCGACTCATTCATTCATTCCGTTGGTCTCCAGTCAACCGTATTCGCCGGTTGCGTAAAGTCAAGTAACTATATCCGGCGTCTCCCACCACATCATTGATCATTCATCTCCTACGAATCGTGAACGACGCGGTGGACTCTGGTGCCAAACTTCCACACCTCGTCCAGGACCAGAGTGCTGGGCTGGCCGGGCGTCTGCTTCTCGGAGAAGATGACCAGGTCGGCGTCGGCGCCGGCGTCGAGCGATCCTTTGACGCCCTGCAGGCCCAGCATGGCCGCGGGGGTGGACGTGACGGCCTTGAGGGCGTGAGGGATGCCCGTGCCTGTCCATTGGAGGAAGTTGTTGACGCACTCGAGGAGGGTGATGGAGCTGGCGGGAAACGGGCCGTGTTAGTAGTCTGCTTTTACATTGGCGTATAAAGCATTGGACGTAATGTCGTTTGGTGACTCGTCAGGGAGATTCAGTCCACACAACTTACCTGCCGGCAATCGTATCCGAGTTCTCGAGTAGCAGCTTGGAGCCCACCTTGACGATGTTGCACGTCGTGTCGCCGTTGGTCCACGGGTATGCGCCGTCGGGCAGGCCAACGAGGTGCATGGCGTCCGTGACGAGGATGAAGCCGTCGGGATGAGAGTTAAAGGCAATCTTGATCGTGGTCGGGTGCAGGTGGATGCCGTCGGCGATGATGCCAAAGTACGGCCGCGGCAGGCTCTCGGCGATGCCCAGGACGCCAAAGATGCCCGGGTTGCGGTGGTGCAGCGGGCGCATGGCGTTGAACAGGTGTGTGATCATGGTGGCGCCCTGGCCGACGGCCTCGGACGCCTGCTCGTACGTGGCCTCGGAGTGGCCGACCGAGTAGATGATGCCCCTGGCCGTGAGCTCCGGGATGAGCTTGGTCATCTGGCCGCGCTCCGGCGCCGCCGTGATGTACTTGATGGGGATGGGCTCGCCCTCGGCCCGCGGCGTGAGGTTGTGCTTGCCGTAGCAGGCCTCGATGTCCTCAAACGTCTGCGCCTCGATCAGCACGTCGACGTTGTGCACGCCGTTCTTGGTCGGGCTGAGGAACGGGCCCTCGCAGTGGGCGCCGAGCGACTCGGCCCCGTCTTCGGCCTCCTGCAGGTGCCCGGACGGTCCCAGGAACGGAAGAGCCTATGCGTGATTGATGATGCCCGGTCAGTATGTATATATTGACGTGTATTACACAGCTTGACATTACACAGCAGAACAATTAGAGACCGGATGAGATGAATCTCGAATCATCCATCTCTGCACATTGCATCTCGGTTGCTGAACCCACCTTTTGATATAGTTCCGGCCTCTGGCTGGTGATGGTGGGGTTGTACGATGTGACGCCCGTCTGGACGAGCAGCTTCTGGACCTCCTTGACCTTCTTGCCGTACTGCGACATGTCGTCGAGAAGCGTGGAGAAGTTGAAGCCAAAGGCGCCATTGAGCTGCACGTCAATGAAGCCGGGCGAGATGATGCGGCCGCCGAGGTCGATGGTCTGATCCGGCAGGACGAGGTCGTCGAAGAAGGCGGCCTGGCTGTTGACGATCTTGCCGGACGTGGAGCTGACCCAGAGGTCCTCGTGGACGAGCTTGTCGCCGCGCAGGAGGCGGCAGTTTGTGAACTTTGTCAGGCCGTTCCGTGGCCGGAAGGGAGGGGATAGAGCTATCGGCATTTTTTTTGGTGGTCCGGCGCTCAGACTTCTGAGCAGAGTGAGTACTGTGTGAAGATTCCTTTCTTCTTCTCCCTCTTCTTTCTCTGATATAGAAATCCTCTTCTTCCCGTCTTTATGAAAAAAGGCTTGTTAATGATGTGCTTGATGTTCAAGGAGGATGCTGCAGAAGGAAAGCTTCGATGAGAGAAGAAGGACTGCAAGTCCCGGCGCAGTTTGATATTGGCTCCATAGCAAAACAGAAAAAAGAGCAGCTTCCACGCGCCGAGAGCATGGCTCGAGAAGTATATACGCCTTTTTTTTGTTTGCTACCTTACTATTACAACACCTTTTCTCACACACCTCACTCACACCACTTGTCACTCCGCTTGGCTCCGGCCGAGTCAAGCAAGGACATGTGAGGGCACGTAGGTAAACCTCTACTACTTTCGAAACATGACGCCGATTAGCGTCCGATGGTAGCAGGCGCCTACTAAGAAGGTACATGCAAGCTATTATGGAGCAAAAGCCAGCAAAAACGGCAGACGTGAAAGGAAGAAGACGGAAGAAGATGGTACAGGTAAAAGCGTCACCAATCGTTGAAGTCACGGTGCCATGTGCCTTCGCGGTGGAGCTTCCCGAGTGGACGCCCGAATGGACGGGGGGGCAAAAATTGCCGTGCCGGGTTGCACGAAGAGAGATCTGGGTGCGCCGGTTATGGGGGTACTTGGGCTGTACTTTGAGCATGGCATGACGTACAGACAGAAGCGAGGTTACTGGCGTTTATTGTCTCAAGACTGGAGTTTTTGGGTGGCGTCTTGTAGGGCGTGTGCTAATAAGCAGATGGTTTGATGGGGTTCATGTTGGTTTGTGTCTCCTGCTAGTAGTAGTATCGTCGTTTTGCCTTTCTCCCGCCTTGGCTTCACCGGCTATCGGCTGGAATGTCCTTCTTAAGAATGGTTGCTGAGAAGCGATGGCTTTCGATCAAACAATCCAATCCATTGCGTGAGGTGACCATCTATCGAGGCTCTTAACGATTTGAAAGTTGACTGGTATCAATTCCACCGTTTCGGACTTGCTGATGCTGCACCACGGATACCTATCTACATGTAGTATCCCAGAGCAATGCCAGCACTATAGTACCTTGTATAAATGGAATCTGCCGTATGCATGCTTGATGAGCTGCAATATTGGGGTACCTGCGCATTGCACATCCCGGTCCTGCTGCTACGTACCTCAGCTCGCCCAACCGATGCGCGCCGTTGAAATGGACGTTCGTTTGCTGCTGGTGGCTGTTGAAAACGGTGGCGATTGAGCAGTTGTCGGGCATGTAACGTTGACTCCGATACTGACGGTACTTCCAGTTTGTACCTCTCATGTCAGCAAAGCAGCCCACTGGAACTGACTGAATCCTGGAGGAGCCGCTGATTGAAGACTTGTCGGACGTGCTGGAGAGCGACTCCGCCAAGCTGCCCGAGGTCTGTCTGGAGCTTCATGCTCTATCCAATGCCTAACACCGATTCCAGAGGAAATCGCCAGACGATGCAGCTGCTTTGCTTGTGCTTGTATGTATTGCCAGTAGAAGAAGGCGTACTGAATGCTGCTATTCCACGCCGCGAGGACTTTTGTTACCGCTCTTTGCTGTCTTCCATTCGTAACAGAAAATAATCGATACCTGACAGGACTTGTATAGAGCCGAATGGCAGGCCGGTCCCTGTAGTAGTACGGTATCAGCCATCTTCCAAGGTGATTCAGGTGATAGTCGAGAGCCTCTAGAGCCTCGACCGCGACAGGCCCGGAAGGATGAAGCCCCCCGCCGCCTGATAATCTCCTGATTAGCCGACGATAAGCCGCATTTCCAAACCGCGACCGACGGCCTCACATGAGCGAATGCTCGAGAGCTGAGACGAGCCTCTGTGTGTGCGGTGCCGGAAATCTCGTATACTCGCAGCCCGAGTACAGACGGAGCGTATCTCATACTACAGCCCACTCGTCGAGGGGTTCCCTCTACAGGAGAGCGTGGCCAGAGGCGCCATCGTCGCTGTATCGCCGAGTCCCGTCTCGTCTTCCTGAGCTCGCTCGCCCTTTGCGACCACCAGCGCCGCCGCGGTGCGTTTTTTCGGACTGCCATGTTAGGGAGGTAATGACAAGCGCTGCGTCTCATCCATCACAATGGCCAACTCCATCGGCGGCACCTCTGCCGACAAGTTCGATCTGGATCCGCTATGGCAGAATCTCGATTGGTACGTGCTGTTGCTTGATGCCCTGTCCGCATGCATTCATGTTCTTCCCCTGCCTGTTTCACTCGTCCTGCTGTTGTAGCTCGTTGAACCATTTTCTTTGCATTCAAACCTGGGCATCTGTTATATGACTGCGTGACAATACATGGCAGCATGGGTTAACACACAGTCTCCTTCACCTGATATAGGGCGATAGGGCAGATGATGCTCATGGGCTGGGATGGCACCCAAGTGACGCCTCAGATCAGGAGCCTCATTGAGGACCACCACCTCGGCTCCATCATCCTGACGGCCAAAAACCTCAAATGTAAGTCACCCATCAACTTGGTCCCATCTAATGACCCGACGAGTTCGGTCCTCTTGACATGCTTCATCGCGCACCGCACTTATAGACGTCTCGGTTGTGGATCCGGGGCCATCCTGCTAACTGGCCAATTAGCGGCCCATCACACTGCGTTGCTCGTCCAGGAGCTTCAGATGATCGCCAAGAACTCGGGCCATCCGCAGCCGCTTCTCATTGCCGTCGACCAGGAGAATGGCGGCGTCAACAGCCTCTTCGACGAGGACTTCGTCTGCCAGTTCCCCAGCGCCATGGCCATTGCTGCCACCGGCAGTCTCGAACTGTCGTACGAAGTCAACAAGGCGACGGCTACCGAGATCTCGGCCTGCGGCGTGAACCTCATGCTGGGCCCGGTGCTAGACGTCCTGAACAATGCGCGCTATCAAGTCATTGGAGTGAGAGCCTCGGGTGACGATCCCCAGGAGGTATCGCAGTATGGACTGGCGGCCCTGAGCGGGATCCGCGACGCGGGTGTGGCGTCTTGTGGAAAGCATTTCCCTTCGTACGGAAACCTCGACTTCCTCGGCTCCAACCTGGACGTTCCCATCATCACCCAGACGCTGGAAGAGCTGAGCCTCAGCGCGTTGGTGCCCTTCCGGAACGCCATTGCTTCCGGCAAACTAGATGCCATGTTCATTGGCGGTTGTGGCATCTCTAATCCCTCCATGAATGTTAGCCATGCCTGTCTGTCCGATCAGGTTGTTGACGATCTCCTTCGAAACGAACTCGGCTTTAAGGGCGTTGCCATCTCAGAATGCCTTGAAATGGAGGCGCTGAGCCAGGACCTTGGTGTGCAGAACGGCGTCGTCATGGCCGTAGAGGCGGGATGTGATATCGTGCTCCTATGTCGTGCATACGATGTTCAGTTGGAAGCCATCAAGGGCCTCAAGCTCGGTTACGAGAACGGCATCATTACCAAAGAGAGGATCTTCACCTCTCTCAAGCGAATCTTTCACCTCAAATCGACATGCACATCTTGGGCGAAAGCGCTCAATCCTCCGGGGATCAACCTCCTCTCTCAAATCCGCCCCTCTCACCTGGCTCTATCTCGGCGAGCTTATGACGATTCCATCACCATTGTGCGGGACAAGGAGAAGCTGCTTCCCCTCTCCCTTTCGATGCATCCCGGCGAAGAGCTGCTCCTGCTAACGCCCTTGGTCAAGCCACTGCCGGCTTCCTCGTTGACCAAGAGCCTGCTCGAGTCGAAGAACGATCCATCCTTGATCAGCACCGAACACGATCGGTGGAGTCACCAAATCCGAGAAAGAAGCGCCATCATGAGCGGCGAAGGGGTCTTTCGAGAATTTGGCAAGACCTTGGCAAGATACCGCAACGAGAAGCTTCTGCACACGAGCTACACGGCCAACGGCGTAAGGCCAGGTAAGATATGGGCTGTTCATTGAGGAACAAGATATTGTATACTAAGGATTCTCCACAGTGCACGAAAACCTCATCAACAGGGCATCATGCATCATCATCTTCACGGCAGACGCAAACAGAAACCTGTACCAGGCCGGCTTCACCAAACATGTCGACATGATGTGCTCCATGCTCCGCAGCAGAGGGCAGAAGAAGCAGCTCATTGTTGTCGCCGTGAGCTCTCCATACGACTTTGCCATGGACAAGTCCATAGGCACTTACATCTGCACATACGACTTTACGGAGAATGCCATGGCTGCTCTGGTCCGGGCGTTGGTCGGAGACAGCAACCCCGTCGGGACCATGCCGGGCACGCTGCGAAAGAGCAAAAAGGTCCTCAAGTCTCGGCAGCATTGGCTGGTGGAGGAGTTTGACGGCAACCGAGATCGAAAGGGGTTGAACGACCTCATCCGGGCTGTGCACAGGGCCAGCGACCAAGATTTCCGCTACCTGCAGACCGCAACCGCCGACACTTTTGTTCTTGCCAACCAGAACATCAAGGAGACCCATTTCGTGGTTCGAAACAGTAGCACGCAAGCCCTGTACGGCTTTGCCGCGACGTACTTTGTCCAGAACGTGGGCATTCTCGGAGCGCTCATTGTCGACCCGACCAAGCGCAACATGTCGATCGGCCGGTCGCTTCATCGCCGAGCCATCAAGAACTTGACTCAACAGAGGGGCATCAAGAAAGTCCAGCTGGGGTCATGCTTTCCCGCTCTCTTCCTAGGAATCCCTCTCGACATTGAAGTGACGACGACCAAGGAATGGTTTAGCAACAGCGGATGGGACACGCAGTTCCCACGGAGGCTTACCAACATGGTGATCCACGATCTGAGCGCCTGGTACGCCCCCGAGGGCCTATCGCAGAGCATCCAGCGGGCCAACATCAGCTTTGACCTGATATACGGCGTGGAAAGCGGAGATACCGTGATGCACCATGTGCGAACGCACGCAAACCCGGAGGTCCTCGAGCTCTACCGCACTGCCCTGGAGGAAAGCAAGGCCTGCGGCATTGTGCGAGCCAAGGATGCAGCAGGGAACCTGCTGGGGACCATTATCATCTGCCGGCCAAACAGCCCCCTCGCTCGATACGTTCCGCCGCTGGTGTCTCTGGGACAAGACATTGGCGGTCTGCTGGCCCCGATTGTTCCTCCGGCTCCCCTTTCGACGCTGGTGCTGCAGGGCCTTGCTTTGATGGGTGTTCGACAGAACAAGGGCCACAAGGCGACAAAGTCGGTGTTGAGCTGGGTATGTTTTTTTTCTTTTGACTTTTGCTTGGCATCTATAAAGTGTTATGTTTGAAGACTAATGAGTGCAATGCCAGGTTGTCGATGATGCGTATGAGCCGCTCGTGGCGATGGGATTTGATGTTTTGCAGGCATTCGAGGAGATTACGAATTCCCCTGAAACGTACGTCTTTTTCTTCGAGTCATTGATCGATATTGAGGGTGTTGAAGCTCACTTTGATGCAGATTCCAAACTTGACGTCTCATTATCACTACTGGCACTCACGGGTTTTATCCTGTATTGGTGTCTTGCCCTTGATATCCGCTATGAAGAGCTTTTCTATATGCAGCACCCGCTTGCTTTCAACACACCAAGTGCTATGAGGGAAGAGTACTGTGGTGAAGACGGCACAGCGGCTCACAAGCTTCGCGTTATCCCTTGCATCTGCGTTTACTTGAGTTGTCATGTTGTTTGATACCTGAGGAATAGGAGGGTTACGATTCCATGTATTTACTATTGATGATCTAATTGATGGCTGTATAGTACGGTAAATTGAATACGAAAGGCATCGCCATTTTCTCACAATGCATGTGCTGTGATCTGCTGCGTTTGTAAAGCCATCATCAACCTGCGGAAGCTCATCGTGATTTGTCCTAACTCTCATCTTCAACACCTCAAAAGCACAACTCACGCCGTCTTGTCCCCCATGCCCTCCCGCAAAATAGCAACCTGCTTTTTCATCTCCACCCAAAGCGGCAAGTCATCCAACTCGGGATCATCATCATCATCCACCGGCTTGTTAGTGTTGGCATCCAGCACCTGGACCCAGTCGTCCTCTGCCAAATCCACCGTCTGGACCATGCTGGCCTCCTCCGCCTCATCATCACCCTCTCCATCGTCGTCGTCGTCGTCGTCGTCGTCGTCGTCGCCAGGCTGCTCCTTGCGCGCAATAGCAAGCAGCGCCGCGACAAAGGCCTCCTGCATGTACGCGAAGCTGAAGCCATCCGTAATGTCCGCAACGGCGGCGCACAGCTTGTCGGGGAAGCTGATGGCTTTGTTGTCGGCGAGCTTCGTCTGCCAGAAGCGGGCGTAGGCGACGCGCTGGGCGAGGTCGGGGTCTGGGAAGAGGTATTTCCTGTCGAAGCGAGAGGGGCGTTTCTAAAACGGTATACCCAAATTTACCCATCAACAAACGAAGTCTTTTGGTATTGAAAGCGATGAGGAGCAATTTGTGGGTAGGTCTAAAGTGATCTCCATATGGGGGGGAGAAAAACTTACGGAAATGCCTGGATCCAAGCGGTCGAGGTGGTTGGTGCTGCCAATCATAAAGATGCCGTCGTTGCTCTTGAGGCCGTCTACCTCGTTGAGGAAATAGCTTCGGACGTCGTCGGTGATGATGGTGTCGAGGTCTTCAAAGACGAGATAGCAGGGGGCGAATTCTCTCGCCTTTTCAAAGACGAGAGAAATGCTCTTCTCTGGTCCTAGAAACTGAATGGAAAAAGAAAAAAAAAGACGTCAGTTGAGGAGGGCCTCGGCTCATCTCAAACCTCTCAACATAGGAAGAGACAAGGGGGTCAACAACAACAACATACCGACTTCAGAGACCTCACATACAGCGTCGTCACCCGCTGCTTGAGATGATAGAGCATATTCATCGTCGCCTTGATCGAAATGGTCTTGCCGTTCCCCGGCGGGCCATAGTAGATGATGCCTCGTTTCCACGGCACCTTGAGCCGCTCATAGGTGGCCCTCGACCGGAAAAAGGACAAGTGGTCCTCGATCAGCGCCGCCTTCATCTCCTCGTCCAGGATGACGCTGTCCCACGACGCCTTCATGGCGCTGCGGTACAGCTCCGCGTTCTTGGCCCAGCGGCCGCCGTCAAAGACCCAGATCTCGTCGTGCAGCTCGCCGGTCCAGCGCCCGGCGGCGAGGATCAGCTGCGAGGCGAGGCGCTCGTGCGCGGCGAGGATGAAGTAGTTTGTCACCTGCGGGTACGAGCTGGCGCCGTCGCGGCCGTTGACGAGGTAGACGATGAAGTCGGCCTGCTGCTGCTCCTCGTTCTCGTTGTCGTCCTTGTCCTTGCCCTGCTTCTGCTTCCACGTGAGGAGGTACTTTTCAAAGAGGACCTCCTTTGCGAGGGCGCCCAGGTCGCCGTCCATGCGGCGGGCGGGCGGCACGTAGACCTTCCACGACAGCGAGGACGGGACACGGTGAGGGCCGCCGTCGTCGTGATGATGCTCACGCTCATGCTCGTCGTTGTCATCGCTCACGGGCGTCATCTGGGCGTGGCCGCTGGCCGCGTAGGCGAGCAGGTTGCATGATCCTGCCGGGGCGATGGAGAGGGAGAGGTTGGGATGCTGGCTGCGCAGGGCCTTTGCGATGACGGCGTCGGTGTTGATGCGTCTTGCGCTGGAGTGGGAGAAGAACTGGCGGGTTGCCTCGTCGTGGCCGGCGGGAGGGTGGTGATGGTCGTCTATGCTGGAGGCTTCCATTGTGCTTGACTTGATTTTGTGAGAAGAGTGAGGATTGGGATGAGTTTGGGGTTCCTTGGATGAAGAGGAGAGATGGATAAATGGATTGAATTGATGATGCCGAGTCGAGAAATGAGAGGTGAGCGAGGGCGACAAGGATCATTGATATACCCTTACGTAGATCCCGCCTCGCTGTACACGTAGACGCACCCGTCACGGTGGTTGGGAATACGAAGCAGCGTTTGTGAAGGCGGCAACGGCACGTATGTAGAATCGATTATTCACTTGGGAAAAATGTCAAGCATGACATGGCCTCTTTCGTACGTGATGGAAGTCGTTGAGAGGTTTGTATAAACACAAGTGCATGTAATTGACATGTCCGCCCACGTTCAACTGAATGCGTGTTCACCTCATACCAATACCCTCACAACCAACAACTTTTACATCATTTTCTCTCCCGTCAAGCATCATTTGGAAATTCGAATCCACAAATAAAAGAGAAGTACTACATCTATGTAAAAGCCCTTTGTTGCCGTCAATCTCACCCTCAGATCCTGGTTATTCTTGCTCGACATGATACATACCAGGCACAGGCATGCCCTCATCCGCCTCAGGAAGTGACTGATGCCCATCCACCGTCAATATCAAACCTCTGCAACAACCGAACGACAAACAACAAGACTCGTCTCTGAGTGAGCCGCGTGCCGTCTCGGAAACATTGTCCCGTCGCCTTCATGTTCGTTGACGGCGGGCTTCGTTTTAGGGTATGAGAGACCGGCGTGAAATACCAAGATAGTATCACGAGCTTCTTCCGTCGTTTCTTTCTTCATCTGCAGTCTAGTTCATGCACATACACTATCCAGCATGTCATTTACCTGTAATCTTGTCTCTTCTCCTATTGTGCTCTTTCATCTCAATCATACACTAATAGCTGATGCAAAAAAGTATTTTACCCAGTTTATGCATCTCAAAGCCATAGCCGCAGCCATCTCAGCCTCCCTAGAGATGCGGGATAACAGGTTAGTTCTTTGTTAGCACGCCACAGACTTGCACAGGATCAGTGCAATATCTGCAGAGATCTCATCAACGGCTCCCGACCGTGACACTTTGACACTTTTACCCCAATCCAACAGAAACAACCCAGTGAAGCCACCAGCTTCGCAAGGGATGACCAACGGGAGAGGCCTGATGCAGCCCTATTGCCACTAAATGAATCGATCGCCGTTTAAGCACCGCCGTGGCGGCTGTAGCTCGATACTGTTGGATGAGTATACGCGGGGCTTGTATTCATTTACTATTCTCTTCGCTGAGAGATGCGCCGCAAGTGGCGGGAACCTGTCTGGTCCAGGTTCGGTCACGTAGACGCAATTCAAGCAATTTCCACGTCTCAAGCAAGTCGTACCCGAGATGGGTGTCTGGTAGTCAACGTGTTGGTCCCCGCCAGGTCGGCCTAATAAAGCGTTCTACGTATGAACTTCAGGCGTTTGTTCATCGATAGATTGTTTGTCTATGAGAACTAACATAGGATTCGAAGTGATGAATACAAGCTGCACATAGAATGCTCTGGATGGGAACATTGACGTATTTGATCAGGCCCGGATAGCAAATTGCTTCTGCCGCTGCTGTCAGATGAGAGTCCATGAACTGCCCCCTGAACAGCTTGGACTTATAGCGACTCAGCCGTGATCGACAAGGAAAGGCGGACTATCCGTCCATCGCGCGTCTTTACTTGGAGGAATCTTTGATCTTGATATACTTAGCCGCCTCTGTAGATCTTAGCTGACATCCTTGCTTTGACATTGGGCGCTTCATTTCGCCCGTCATACCAGCCTCCAACATGCACATTCCCATTTCCCCGCCCCAGCTTGCAAGCCACCAACATCAACGTGCGAGGTGAGTACTAGGGATAAATTAAACAGACTACAAGCTAAAGGTAGTTTACTCCAGATAACCTATGAGATCGGAGAAGACTCATATCCTCTTCATACATTGCTTGGACCTCGTGTGTTAGCGGGGCTATATGATGGAGAGGAACTCCTGGAGAGGCTATGCCCTACAGCGCAAGGGAGAGGACCACGCTGCAAGATTCTAGCATCTATCATTCCGAAATCCTACAACCCACTCACTAGATGTTCCTAATCACATGAAGCAATCAACATCGAGAAGCAGCTTGAATGCACGCGGATACGCCGCCGGCTTGCGAGTGGCTGAATGGACTAATGGGTTAACGGGTTAAATGCCTTCCACACTGTTATTGAACCAACATCAGAGTCAAACTTAAGCTTTTCATCCATATTCCTTTGCTTTGTTAGCTGTAGCTTGTTCCAAGGCTAGCTTCTGGGATCTTGATGATATAAGAGATATGAAACCTCAATGCTTCGATCCCGGGGAGCTTCGCCCGGCTGCATGTCCCTATCTTTCAGTCCAAAACTGCCTCATAATGGCCGCAATGCTGAGAGATATATATCCTTCTCGCTAATTGCGTCTAAACACTGGAACAACATGGATGCTCGAGATACTGCTTGACACACACACACACACAGTCACACAATCTACGGTTACGGATCACTCAATACACGGAAGTGAAAGAACCCCCAGGAGAACGAAGAAAATCGACGCATAGAGAGACCTCACAGATCAGGGACAACATGGCCACTATCCAGCTGCCCCCGGGCGTGGACCTCTGCCTGGTCCCGGCAGCCATGCCCCCTCCCGGCGTTGTCCCCAACTTTGACAATCCGGAATCGCTCGCGACGGCCATCATCGCGGTCACAGTCGTCATGTTGACAATATCAACAATCTTCCTGGCTGTGCGGGTATTTACAAATTTCCCCAAGTATAATTCAGCAGACTGTAAGTATTCAACAATCAATGGATGATGATCTATCTACGTATACTAACGAGCTTCTCCCCTAGACTTTGCCTTCATAGGCTTCCTACTCAACATAGTTTACACCGGAGTTCTGCTGTCAGGTACGTTGCCCCTTTCAACGACCACAAAGACAAATACATACAAAGTCTTCATGGGGAAGAAGCTCACAGTGTATCTCGTTTCTGTCAGTGACTGAGTATTCCCGGCATCAGTGGAACGTCCCCGTGTGCTGGTACACTGCGTCCTACATGAAGATCCTCTTCGCCCAGGGAGTTATGCTCGGCCCCGTCATCTTCTTCCTGAAAACAGCCATCTGGCTGCTGTACCTGCAAATCTTCTCCGCACACAGGACCATCCGGATCATCGTCTACGTGGGCATCGTCGTCACCGCCCTCACCTACTGGACCACCGTGCCTCTCGAGCTCGCCTACGGGTGCCCGACGCCTGGTACGACGTGGACAGACCTCTTGACGGACGGCAAGCCGGCCAAGCTCATCTACTATGGCCCCGTTCAGGGGTCGTTGGCCGTCATCATCGACATCTGCATCTTCGTGCTGCCGCTTCCAGTACTGTGGAAACTCAACATGACTCTCAGGAAGCGAATTGCTTTGTGCGCCGTCTTCTTCACTGCCTTGCTGTAGGTGCTAGAACCGGCAAAATGTATTCGGCTGGTGAGCATACAGAGCTAACGCAGATTCAATAGGGGAGTCATCTCCAGTGTCGTCGCACTGAGAGCCCGCGTTAAGCTGTTTGGCACATCAGACCTCACCTGGCTGGAGAGCCAGCTCTTTATTTGCATGTGAGTAACGCCAGCTTGAGTCACGCTGGCTGTGCTAACAATGTCTTGCTCAACAGAATCGTCGAAAACAACATCGCCCTCATTGTCTGCTGTGTCCCCTCCTTCAAGTACGCGTGCAAAAAGTTTATAGTGGGATCTCGCGCCTCGAATACACACACATCTTCAAGTAACGGCAGCCACAGTAGCAGAAACAGCGGCAAGAGCGACCACAGATACGAGGGGAAAGGAGGCTATAGTCCTAACAGTCGTGGAGAGGTTAAGCGCCTCGGAAGCCATCAGATCATCCAAGGCTACAGCTTGAACAGAGACAGCTCCAAGGAGACTTATGAGCACAAAGACTCTTTGGAAGAGAGCAACAGGTGCTTTACATCCTACGGACAAGGTGCCGGCAGCTCCGATTATATCAAGTACCCATCACGAGTGGTGCAGATCGAAGGCGGCATCAACCGTGAGCAGACAGGGGCTGACGCTGCAAATGCCCGCTCAGAGGGTATCATGAGGAGCTTTGAGATTAGGCAGGAGGTTCATCCCGAGGATGTGGTCTAGAACAGGCTTACATCTTACATCCCTTGACTGAAGCTCCCATATCCATATATATATATAGAGAGAGTTGTCTTTTTCTGCGGGACCCGTTTTATACTGTGCCAAGTTTACTCGAATTGGATAGACTGCAGAGAGGAAATACTTATATAGACCCCTCACGTTTTTGCCAAAATTGAGTGTATACTTATACTCTCCTTATCAGCAGACTATACTTGCCGTTTCTAAATGCAAGAGGCCTTAGCTAGTGACCTCGTGTTGTTGGTTCTGCTCTGTCAAGGGCGAAAGACTCGGCAGCGCAATCTGGATCTCGCCAAGATACCTACGGAGCAATGAGGAACGAAGGGTCTTGGAGTGAAGGAGCGTTTTATTCAATGGCACGGCTCCAGCCTTCCGGTTCTGCTACATCTCATGAGATCACGGTTGTCAGAGGGTTGAAGCAGGTGGCATCGAAGTATTGATCAAGCACATGGGTCGTGCTTCCTCTGCCGCTTCTTCCTTTATATACATCATCTCGACAGCCTCTGCTCTGTTTATTTTCCTTCTTTCCCCCATATCACCGTATTCATCACATATCACTTCTTGTCTCAACCCGAAAGCGAGTAGCGTCGTGAGAATGCGCTTCATATCCTTTCTTCTGGTGGCGCTGGGAGGCATCGCTGCAGCACACGCTGCCGACGCGGACGAAGGAATAAGAGATGTTGCAGCAACCGTTGCTCCTGGCGATACTTGTGTAGGCTGTCTCAGTCCTTGGTTCTCGATGGGAAGTGCGCCATACTGACCGGTGTGGACTCTCATAGTGCGCTGTTCTCAAGGTCTACTTTGGAGACAAACTCGCCGAACAAGGCAGTGCCACATACAACGAGTCGCTGGCCACGTACTGGTCCGCCCAGGAGGAGCAAATATTCCCGAAATGCATCGTCCGACCCAGCTCGGCAATGGACGTCTCCAGGGCGCTCAGGTTTCTCGTGCCCCTGTCTTGCAAGTTCGCCATCCGAGCGGGTGGCTTCGGCACCGTTCCGGGCATCGCCAACATCAAGGGCGGCGTCACTCTTGACCTGCGAGGCCTCAACGACGTCACTCTCAACAACGACAACTCGACGGTCGAGGTGGGCACTGGCGCTACTTGGGGGGCCGTCTATACGCAGCTGCAAACTGCTTCCGTGACGGTGGCGGGATCTCGGGCAGGGTCGGTGGGTGTGGGCGGCTCGACGCTGGGAGGTGAGTTTTCCTTGATCTTGGTCCCTTTGATACCCAGGAATACATGTAGGCAGTACCCTCTGCTTCTTCCTTCTGGCTGACTCCCCTGTCGTAGGTGGCTTTGGATACTTTGCTCCCAAGGCCGGCTTCGCAGCCGATCAGGTCATCGCTTTTCAGGTTGTCCTGGCAAACGGTAACATCGTGACTGCCTCGGCCACGCAGAATATCGCCCTCTACAAGGCCCTCAAAGGCGGAGCGAGCAACCTTGGCATCGTCACCAGGATCACGTTCAAGACGTTTGCCATTGGAGACATCTGGGGAGGCGACATTTTTTACAACAAAACGACCATTGACGCCCACGCCCAAGCTCTATATGACTTCACGTCCAATCCCAGCTACGACACCAATGCAGGGTATCTCGTCAGCTTCGTCTATAATCCATCCTTTGGGACGATTATTGCCAGCCGACTCGCTTACGCGGAGCCCACGGCGAACCCGCCTGTGTTCCAGGCCATCACGGCGATTCCCGAGCAGCTGAACGATACCACACAGATCACCAATGTGGCCGCTTTGTCGAATCTGTCGTTGTCGTTCAGTGCAGCTGGATATCGGTGAGTACTCATGTCTGTTCCTTTGGTGCATGAAGTTACCTTCTGACTCGAGTTCTCTATACTCCATGTAGGCAAGACAACTGGGACCTCACTTTCGAGAACAATGTTGTATGGTATAAATCCCTCTATGGACTGTTCCAAAACAGCCTTTCGGGACTCAAGGGCGTTGAGAATGTCACTTGGGCCCTCACCCTCGAGCCCATAGTCCCAGTCATCAACACCCAGTCCCAAGCTACTGGCGGCAATATCCTCGGCCTGGACAACACGACGCTGCCGGGACTCGCCCTCGGCGTCTTCTCCGCCACTTGGCAGTCTCCGGACAAGGACAAGCAGATCTACGATGCGTCCGATAAGCTTCTCAAAAAGGTTACTGATGTGGCAAACAAAGCAAAGGTGTTGAAGCAGTACGTCGACGTGAATTACGCCGGAAGGAAGCAGAATCCAATTGCGAGCTTTGGACCGGCAAATTATGCCTTCTTGAAGCAGGTTGCCAAGCAAGTAGATCCAAATGGTGTGTTCCAGAAGTTGGTGCCCGGAGGATTCAAGTTGTAACGGAGGGAAAGGGGTTGTGTGGCGGTAGTGGTATCCGACATTGATAGCTGTATCCTTACGCAGAATAGTTATTGAAGCTTGCATGTTTGTCACTCGATTCTGCGATGGCTCTTTGTTCCGTAGACATGGTTCGAAGATGTACATTGTTTGCTGCGCGCCTGTGCGGTGGTATCATGAGTTGATTGAAAGAACGAGAGTCATGTATCGGCCTATGATGATAAAAAAGCTCCAAGGCAGCAAAAAGTGCCTAACAACAGAGTTGAGTCCTGTCGTTGATGTCGGTTAACGCCGTTATAAAGCCATTCTCGTGAGGCAAAGTCATGTAAGCGTCGCTAGTCAGAGCCTATGACATATATGTAGGTAAGTAGTAGGGAATCAGAATCGATCCAGGCCCCCAGACTATTCTACGTACCTTATCATTCCCACTCGCACATGCGCTCCAATGATGAATGGCATCGAAGGCGGAGTTTCTATGGGGAATCAACGCCGGACAACCCAGGAAAGTCTGGCCGCGGGGCGTCTTTTGGCGGGGTTGAATGGGCATATATTCGGCTGGGCGAGAGAAGCAGTGCCCGAGCCTACATATCTCATGTCACTTTCTCAGTCAGGTAGATTTACGATAGAAACGGTCTTTTGACGAATTGGAACATCATCAACAACACAGTAGTCAACGGGAGCAATGGCACGCCCGTATGAAGGCAAGCTCGCCATCGTCACCGGCGGCTCACGAGGTTCGTCACATCTGCTCTTCCACGGCTCACACAAAAGGAAATCACTAACACCAAAACACCAGGCATTGGGGCGGCAGTGGCCAGGCGTCTAGCAGCCAAGGGCAGCAACGTCCTCATCACCTTCACCTCGGATTCCTCCAAGGACCTCACGCGGCAGCTCGTCGACGAGCTGTCCTCCAAGCACGGCGTCCACGTCCAGTCCGTGCAGACGGACCTCGCCCAGGCCTCGGCCGCGGCGCCCATCATCGTCGAGGCCGCGCGGGCGCTGTTTAACAGCTACAGCTCCCCCGACAAGAAATTCCAGGTCGACATGCTCATCAACAACGCGGGGGTGTCGTCGAACCAGTTCCTCAACGACGCGGAAAGGGGCCCCATCGTCGAGGCCGAGTTCACGCGCGTCTACGCCATCAACGTGCTGGCGCCGCTGCTCCTGACGCAGGCCGTGGCGCCTCACCTGCCGACGGACCGCTCGGGCCGCATCGTCAACGTGTCGAGCGTGTCGGCGTCCATCGGCTACCTGGGCCAGAGCGTCTACGCCGGCAGCAAGGGCGCGCTCGAGGTCATGACGCGGACGTGGGCGCGCGAGCTGGGCGAGCGGGCGACGGTCAACTCGGTCAACCCGGGCCCCGCCTGGGGCGACATGTACGCCGAGGCCGGGCCGGCGTTCTGGAGGCGCAACCAGCCGTACGTGGACGCGGCGCCGCTCATGGCGTACGGCGGCGAGGCCGAGGTGCTGCGGAGGGCGGGCGCCGAGGCGGACCGGTTCGACCGGCTGGTGAGGGAGCAGATGGGCGGCAGGAGGCCCGGCTTCACGGACGAGATTGCGGGCACGGTTGACATGCTGTGCTCGGCGGAGAGCGGGTGGACGACGGGGAGCGTCGTGTGCGCCAACGGGGGGATGCGCATGTCGATTGCGTAGAGGGAGACAAAAGGGATAGGATAGAAGCTGCGGAGATGGATCACGATACTAGCCCCAGATGAACAGCGGTAGACCTGCCTCTTGCGATATAGTAGCAGACCGCCGTGAAAAGGAGTCTAGCCTCGTCAGTTCCAAGTTTCGTGCGTCGGTCAATTGGTGTAATGTATTAATACAGGCTCTTCTCTGGGATTGATTGATTCCAGTTCTGCTGCCCCTCCACTCAAGCTGCTGGCCCCGCCTCAAGTTCATAAGTGGTGACGCAGCCTCTGCTTTCATGAAACGAACAGATAAGGTAGACACGAGCTGGAATTCTGCCAAAGCGGTCTCTGAGTAGTGACACGTGGGTGCCTCTCGTCGGGGTCTTCCAGACGGCAGATGAGCCTTGCCGCGTTGCCATTGATCTTCTCCAGATAAACTGCAAAGCAACAGATCCTCTCAGCGCGACAGCCCCCTACATGTAGTCAGACACCTCCCCGTCAACTTACACCAAAGCTACAGTACAAGTTTCAGCAAACCCTCCTTGTAAACAAAATGCCGAATCCTCCCATCGACATCTCCTCCCTCGCCGCCCAATCCAACTTGTCCTCCGAGATACAAGCCAAGCTCTCCTCCGCCCTCGATGCCGCCATCAACAAGACCACCGATGGCGGCCGGAGCAGCAGCAGCGCAAGCTCCTCATCACACGTCGAGGCCGCAGCCACCGCCATCGACGAAGCGTGTCCCCGGAACGAAGACGCAGAGAGCTTCCTGTGGTCGCTATGGAATCTCCTCATTGGCATCTCCAAGCACATACCCCTCGGCGACGAACGCATCAACAGGCTCGTCGGGATCGTCACGAGCCTCAAGGCCAAGCAGGGCGCAGGAACCGTCGACATCTGGGCGTCGTCGCACAGCTTGTGGAGCGACATGCCGCTCTTTGGCGCCGTCATGAGGGAGGCGTGGAACGGTGAGTTACTGAAAGCCTTTTTTCCATCGTGTGAAGCAACGATGGGAAGACTGCACAGTCTCCCCGCTAAAACAACTGCTATTTTCAGGCAACCCCGACTTCAACGACTCGCCGGAGGATGCCACCAAAACCGCCCAGTGGCTATCCCTCAACACCTTCGCCGCCCGCCTCCTCGGCGCCTCGGTTCAGTCCTGGACGAACCTTGCCCTGTGGGAGCTTCGCGACGGGCTGGAAGAGCCCCTGCCCAGCGGCCAGGCCAGAGACACGCACCTGACTGCCGCGTCGGAGTGGATTGTCCAGGCCGGCAGGGTGCTATACGCCGAGGTACGGAACAAGGCACAGCTCGATGAACGGCATGTTCGGGCCCTGGGACCAGGCTCCATGTTGGAGGGAGGCAGCTCGGGCTTCAATCGGCAGAGGTGGGCGTTTTGGAAGAAGAGGCTGCAAGAGTTGAGCGGGGAGGCGAGTGGCACGGCCAAGGCGAGGACCCAGCAGGCGTTGGAGGTGATGAGCAGCCTGGAGGCAGGCACCATATAGTCAGCAGCCAGACATGACACTCTTCTTCCTTTGTCGCAGTCGACTCATGTGACAGTTCGGTATCATTTCGCTTTCTAGTAGAGCAGCAAGCATAGCATGATGGTAATCCATCGCGCTCATCTCTCCTACAACCACCTCCCGCCCGATAGCAAGCCCGGAAACAAAACTCCGAAAACGCCCAGTATATACATCACAAGTTCTGTCAAGCTCCCTCCTCCCAACCGCCATTACGCATACATCATATCGCCATCTTCCTCCTCGGAATCCTCCACAATGGGAACCTCCTTCTTCCTCCCCACCTCCTCGCGACACATGGGACACGTGCCCTTGCTCCTCAGCCACGGCCCAACGCACTCCAGGTCGAACCGATGCCGCCCCTGGCACGGCAGCTCCACGACGAGGCAGTACTCGTCCTCGAGGTACGGCACCTTGCAGATGGCGCAGTCGTCGTCGGCGCCCAGCCTCTTCCTGGGCACGCGGTCCAGCATGTCGACAAACTCCTGGCTCGCGCCCTGCAGCCGCGTGGGCGGGTCGTGGATGTCGTCCTCGAGCGAGGCGATGAGCCGCTCGAGGAAGGCGGCGTTGTCCGCCGTCGGGGCCGTCGTGTGCAGCGTCTGCAGCTGGCTCTGCAGCAGGCGGAAGAGGGCGGCGGTGTCGACGGGCGTGGGCGTGGCGTGCGGGTTGTTGTGGGGGGTCTGCGCGCTGCTCGAGGGCTCGTCGAGCTGGTTGAGGAGGGCGAAGAAGGAGGCCATGTCGACGCGCCGGCCGGAGCGGCGAGGCTCGGCGAACTTGACGTTGTGCTCGACTGTTTCGTTTGGCAAGGGGCTTTTGGTTAGCAATCTGTTTCACACGAGGATGGGAGTTGAGATGGAGAGGGGGGAAGGGGATTCAGCGTACGTTCGTATTGAGTGGCCATTGTGGGCGGGTGCTTGCGTGAGGATGAGCGAATGGACTCAATGAGGATCACACAGGTCGTGATTCAGAGTTGAAATGATGCGCATGCGGAAGGATGCGACTGTGCTGGAGCTTTGAACTGGGGGGCTGTCGATTGGGGGACGCAACATGAAGCCTTCGCAGGCAGAGAGAAGCTGTCGCAAGCGCACACACACCTGACGGTGCTAGCAGTGATGGAGGGGCAGCAGCGCCGTGGAGGGGCAGCGATAGAAGCACCGATAGGGCGCTATAGCCGTTGAACCCTGCCTGTGCTGTGCTCAACTGCATCTGGGCTACTAATTTGCTATGGAGCCTGTGTAGCTGCAGCTCTTGGAGCTCTTGGAGCTTGCCAATGCCTCGAGCATCTCTTGTACACGGACGAAATGACGAGGACCAGCTGTAGCCTAGGATAATTACATACCTTAGGTATTTCTTAGCACCAGCTACTACATGTACCGCGAGCACTCCTGAACCGAGCTCCAGGCTACATGTTAGGTACCATACGCGGCCAAGCTCGGGGCCTGGATGGATCAAAAGTCCGCTCCGCATGCTCCGTATTATGTACCGAACAGCCTCGGGGAGCTTCACATGTTCGGTAGCTGGTGATGATTAGTATTTGAGGACCGCCAATTCCCTCCTCGTCTCCGCCAAACGGGCGGAATCACTGCCCCCAGCCGTGCACCAGCTCCGGCGTTTCGGGCCGCAGCCTGTCTCTTAAGTCCAGGGCATTCCATCATCGTACGGCAACGTCGCCTCAGTGATATCACCTCATGGCCGCCACTAGCAAATCGCACTTGTTATAAGGCGGGTACCTTGACACAACTGCCGTTGCTTGGGCTCCAGCTCTCATACCACATCTTCCCACCTTGATTTCTCCCCAACTTCACCACCACACACACACACACACACATCTCCAGCACCAACTATCGACCATCAACAGCCTGCAACAATGGCCTCCAACTCCGCCGCCGTCTTCGGCTCAACCGGCCTCGTCGGCTCCCACATCCTCACCAACCTGCTCTCCACCGGCCCCTACACGCCCGTCCACACAATCTCGCGCCGCGCGCCCAAGCCCTCATCGCCGGCCCTCAACGCCGTCATCGACGCCGACGTGTCCAAGTGGCCCGCCGCCCTGGCCGGCCTCTCGCCGCCGCCGCACGTCGCCTTCTCCGCCATCGGCACCACGCGCGCGGCCGCCGGCGGCCTCGAGAACCAGTGGAAGATTGACCACGACCTCAACGTCGACGTCGCCCGCGCCGCCAAGCAGGCCGGCGTCAAGACGTTCGTCTTCATCTCCAGCGCCGGCTCCGACGGCGTTCTCGCCAACACGTTCCCCTACAGCAAGATGAAGAAGGGCGTCGAGACGACCATCAGGGAGCTCGACTTTGACCACGGCATCGTCGTCCGCCCGGGGCTCATCCTGGGCGAGCGCGAGCAGGGGCGCTTCCTCGAGGGCCTCGCCACCGTGGCCGTGCGCGGCCTGGGCTTCGTCGGGCTCAAGGACACGTTTGCGCAGGACGCCGAGGTGATTGCCCGGGCGGCCATCAAGGCCTCGCAGCTGGCGGACGAGGGCAAGGCGCCGAGCAAGTTTTGGGTGCTGAGCCCCAAGGACATTATCCGGCTTGGCCGGACGGAGTGGGATCACAAGGAGGAGGTCAAGTGATTTTTGTTTTTACGTTTTGATTGTTGGTTCTTGTTTGCTTGTTCAGCTTGTCGGGAAGCATGGCTGCGTTGTTGTGACGGTCATGATGGATTCCACTCAATACCCATTGCGCACTCTTTCCTTTTCTCATACACTCTTTTTGTTGTTTCATCGGCTTAATAGGAACCTGTCGGGCTCAAATCGTTGGAATTGGCTTCATGATTGAATACCCATAACTAGGCTCAGGAAATCAATACAGAATGATGCCATCTGTTGAAGGCAGCTTGATAATTTGCGCCCCGTCGACCGGAATTGCTCGGCCATTGGTAAGCAAAAGCTGGCTTACACCAGGCTTTGGCATCCATCTCAAACGATCAATAATGCGTCCCCATCACTCCAAAGACCAGATGCATCAACCTCATTCCATGCATCTCCATGCTTGTACAAACGCGACTCAACAGAAAAGAAATCACAGTATCTTCGTAAACCCAAGCTCGGCCATTGAAACCCGCCCTCCGGACTTGCCCCGCACCGAAGCCCGAAGCCCCCCCAAAGAGCAAAAAGAAGGCGACAGAAGAAATATCCCAATTGCGTAGAAACGGTCCAAAATCCCCTTCTTTTAGCTTCTGCCCCGCCCCCCTCAAATCTGTTCTTTGGATCTAGTCTCCGACAAAGGCAATCCCGCGCGGCTGATAAGAAGTTGGACCCCTCCAGGCTGCCTTGGTAGATTCGCATGAAATAAGTTCATATACCGGACTCAACTTCACCCATCTCTCTTCTCTTATTTCCCTTTCCGTCGGATCAGCTTATAGAAGTGCTTGATATCCCATCTGGTTGTAGAGAGTATTCTTTTTTTTTGTCCGGAACGGTATTTCACATAGACAACCAACAACCGGCGCAACATCTCACATACATCAACCTCGACTTTTGTCACGACACACACACAACGCCACCAATTTGACTCATCCAACCTTCAGCCTCAACCTCAAACACATCAACGCGCCTCACCAACCATGTCGTCCTCCTCGTCCCGCCCCGAAGTCGTAGGCATGGAATCCGGCCCCGAGCCGCCCTACCCATACAAGATGGAGGGCAAGGTCATTTCCGGCTTCGGCCGCGGCTCCAAAGAGGTAAAATTAACCAAACGCATAAACCCTCATCCTCATCCTCATCCTCATCCCCCCTCTCATAAGCCCACATAGCCTCATCATACTCAACACCTCAACCCCCATCTCATCACACACACACACACACACATACACACAAAAGACTCACACATCCCCAATCTCCAGCTCGGCATCCCAACCGCCAACCTCCCCGTCGACGACGCCCTCACCCCCTGGATCTCCAACGTCCCCTCCGGCGTCTACTTTGGCTGGGCCTCCCTCGCCCTGCCCGCCGACCACCCCGACCGCCCCCCCTCAGACAGCAACGGTTCTTCTTCCATCGCCGTCTTCCCCATGGTCATGTCCATCGGCTACAACCCCTTCTACAAAAACACCGTCCGCAGCGCAGAGGTCCACATCCTGCACTCCTTCGCCAGGGACTTTTACGACGCCCACATGCGGCTGCTCATCCTCGGCTTCATCCGCGAGGAAAAGGACTACGACAGCCTCGAGGCGCTGATCCGGGACATCAACATCGACTGCGACGTCGCCAAGAGGAGTTTGGGCAGGGAGGGGTGGAGGTGGGATAAGGGCGCCAAGGAGGATGCTGAGTGGTTCGTGAAGCCTTTATAGATTTGGGGGGAGTGTTTGTCTTTGGATAGGAAAGTTGTGGGAGGGGGTCGATTTTTATAATGGCTTTGTTTGCTTTGTTTTGGGTCTGTGCGCGTGGGGAGGCAAAGGAGGAGATGGTTCACTTATTCAGGTTGGGGGAAATGCAGGCTTCACCATAGACGGGTCATTCTTGACGAAGGGCTAGAGAGAGCGCAAAAAGTATTCCCAAAGGATGAGAAACAAAAGCCAGAAAGTGTCATGCAGCCTCTCCCACCCAAAATCTGAGAGAGATATTCAAAGGCACAAGTCACAGCGCACGCGAGCAGGTCAGCTATGCATCGTGTTTGGTAAAACATGCGTGTTTGAGTGTGCGTAGTCGCACGCGGGTATCATCCAGGTAATCCCCTCTCGTCATTACAAGCTTCATTTCATGGCCCCGATGCAAACACACCCAGTGATAACCATGCCCAGCCCCAGAATACTCCGTGTTTTCCTTGAATGCGAACAATGAAAACGCAGTCCTAATCTACCTACTGAACATCAACACAGCGGTCCTGTTCGTCCTCCTGCTCTAGCCCTCCACTATCCAGCTTTTTGTGTGGTGAAAACGTAGCAAGGCATAATCTCGTCCGTTTCCCAGCAATCCGTTGACCAAATAAGGAATCCAACAAACGAAAGCATGGAAAAGGCCAGCGCCTTGTATGCAAAACAGACAACGTATAGTGTGAGTTACCCGTCAGGGTGACCACAGTCATCATACAGCGAGCTGATGAGGTTCCTGGTTAGGGTGATACCGTGGTAAGAACTACACAACCATGATTAGCATACCAATATCTTCATATCCAGAGGGAGGGGAAGCTCACGTTAATGATAATCATCATGGGAATGTCAAACACGTCCCGCTTAATCGTCCAGCAATACGTGCAGTCCACCTTGCCATCCTTTTCGATGCGCGAGATGCCATGCTCGCTGTCAATCATAGTGACGCGACTGCTCAAGATGCCCGTCCGAGGGTGTCTCTGAGGCCCCAGCATCTCCTTTGCTTCCAGCATCTCCTGCGTGCGGTACTTGATCAGCCGGCCGCTGCGCTGCACCTTGCCTCGGCTGTCTTCAAACGCAAGCTGCGCAAAGTCGCGGTAGAATTCCACCAGGCTGTCGTCATCTAGCAGCTCGCCCAAGAAGACGGGCTGCGGCCGCCCGCCGTTATTGTTGCCGTTGTTGTTATTGACATTGTTGTTGCTGCCATGCATCGACTGTTGTTTCGCAGCGGGGGTTACATGGCCAGACGAAGAGAGACTCTCGCCGTCGTCGGTGCCCTCGTCTGATGACCGGAGATGGATGTTACGGTTGGGAGCTTGACCCAGGAGAACGTCCTTGGGCCAGCCCGTCAACGCCGCAAACTCCTTGTTCACGGCCGCCACCTCTCCGGAGCGCCGACACACAATCGTCGGCGCGCAGCAGTGCTGCAGAAAGTCGTCGAACTCGACAAGCGTCCGCTGGAAGCACTTCTCCATGAAGATGAGGTCTTCGCGCGTCAGGTCCTTGGTGCAGGAGATGAACGAGGGCCGGATCTCACCCAGCGACTGGGCAATCTTCCACAGCTTGCTCAGCGGCAACCGGTTGCGTAGCACAGATATCATGTTGTGGAAGCCGGCAACGTAGGGATACGGCTCCTTGACGCTTGCGTAGATGGATGCAGAGTCCCGCTGCCTCTTGCCGAGAATGGACTGCAGCATCTTGTCCTGCTTCGGCTTGAGACGCTGGGCCCCAGACATGTTTTGTAGGCCACTGAATCCCGCGCCCGGGTTGGGAGAGCCATCCATGATGGCCTGCGGGCTGGCAGTGGCGTCCGTGCTGGGACTGGCCAGGCTGTTCGGTCCGGCGGCGATGGCGAATGCGTGGGGAAGGCCGTGCTGGAGGTTCCCCTGAGAGTACATGTTGGAGCCGAGATCCACGCCAGCGTAGTCGCCCATCATGTTGGCGTCGTAAGATCCGTTGCTGCTTCCAAACAAGGCCGCATAACTCGCCTCGGTCTTTGGCGTCTGCGAGATGGAGTTTTCTCGCGGTGGCGTCTCAGCGCCAAGGCCCATTTTATTCAAAATGCCAAACTCCCATCCGGCATATTGGCTGCCAAAGTTAAGGCCCTCGAGATCAAAGTTGTAGAGCGCAGGGTTACTTGGGTCGAACAAGGCGTTGAAGTCCATGGTGTTTCCCGAGAGCATGCCGCCCATATGAGCCTGGCCAGCGGCAGAGGCTCCATGGAATGATGGTGAAATGGGTGAGGCCTGGGGGTTGAGATGAAGGGCGTCGGGGATGGCAACCGGTGGCTGGCTGACGTTTGGATAGACTGGGAACGAAGGGTTGCCCTGAGACAGGAAGCTGTCGCCCGAGGCCGTTGTCAGAACGTTGTCGGAGTGGATAGAATCATGACGTTGTCCGTTGGCCTTTGCGGAAGGGGGAGGGCTGAAGTTGGGGCCGAGGACAGGTCGGAGAGCTTCTGGCGGAGCATCGTGGAGATATTTGGCCTTTTTACGCACGCCATCTTGACAAGCATCGGCAAGACCACGCTTGATACATCTCTTACACGGTCTCTCGTCTCCTGTATCAGCCCAAAGTTAGTCTGAGCAAACTTGCACGTTGAAAGCTGGCGTGATCCAGAAGGAAGCAGGGGCCCAATTGGACTCCGGGAGGTGATATCAATGGCACAAAGGCCAAGCTGGGCAAGGGGGGGATAAAGCAATAGATCTTATGAGTAGAATCGTGGGAGGTAGGGAGGGGATAAGAACTGGTCTTCTAGAAGAAGGACGCACCGCAGGTCAGATGTGCCCTCTGGCAAGCAAAGCATGCCCTCCTCGCCTTCTTCCGCCTCGGCCTCAGAGGATCTTTCGGATCATACTTCTTCTTTTCGTCGTAGGAGCCATTGGCCGCCATTGGATCGGCCATTCTCTCGTCGTCTTCCTTTGCTTGCGTTTCCGAATCTTCTTCGTTCTCGGACACGGGGTCTGAGACGTCTGCCCCGTTATCCTCCATGTCTTGGGGCATCTTGCCGGGTCTTTATACAATGACAAGCCCCCTCCTTGGCGCATACACAGCAGGCCAAGGTACTCGAGACGGCGGTCCTGCAGCGAATTGCTCCTTTTTGCGCGAATCAGGGCGGCGATGCGGGCTCCGTTCCCCAGAAGTCTCGTCTGCCCCAATCCATCCAACTTTTGCGCTGATCAACCACACCAACGCACGGCTTTCGTGGCACGAGCGAGCAAGGGCCAGACCGTTACACCACTGTGACTTTGTTTTTGAATTGGGGATGTGCGATTAACACAAAGAGCGATCCACAGTGGCTTGAAGCGTGCCAGGGATGATATGCAGCTGGCACGACGCAGGTGGACGAATGACAGGGAGCTGAGTCGAGCCGGGCTTGGCTGGGCTGAAGCTGAACAGGCGCAAGCGGCAGCGGCAGCGGCAGGGCAGAGTAAAAAGCAGAGCCTGGACGGCGGCTGCGCTGCGCGTGTGTGCTTGATATGCGCGGTACGTTGTATGTATGAGACAGTCTTGCGCTGACCGGTCGCGGAAGGGAAGATCCGTGTGGGCTTCCACGGGGGGGCTGCTGCTCGGGCGGGAAGCCGAGGAGCGACAGGCAGGGCCAAGGCCAGAAACGTCGGGGTCGGCCAGCTCCGTATCTCTCAGGAGCGGTTCGACGCGGTCTCCAAGGCCAATGGGCGCTCGTGATTCGTGAAGAGCGCAGGCGCACGCAGGAGGGCAGTCGGTCGTGTGACAGGGCGGCAAGATTTCAATAGAGCGACAGCGCCGGTGGCATGGAGGCCAGTGAATTCCAGCGCGGAAGCGCAGCCGGGCAGAATCTCTGTGCCCTTCTCGGATAACGGGGGGGTGTGATCGATCGGCCCAGGTTCGAGAGACAAGATGTAACGCCGCGTCTGCGCAGAGACGGGGGTAAGGGTTGGACGATGGGAGGAGCAGGAGGGGGGGCCCAAAAGAGAAGCAAGAAGCAGAGAGAGCAGAGCAAGCTCCGGCAGAAGGAGGCGCAGGTTCTGAAGCAGCTATCCGTTACCCATAGGCTTGGCCGCGCCCACCATTGGGGGTTGAGCGATGCGCTGCCCAGGACCAAGCGGGAGGCGACACGGCGCTCGGGATGTCAGGCCCGAGGAGTGGAAGCTGTGATGAGGGCGCGCAGCAACGAGGCATGCGAGCAGGAAACGGGCTCTCTGGGCTGGGGCTGGACGGCTGTGGATGACGCCGGCCCGGGAGCAGAGCGATGACGGCGACCTCGGCGCTGACTGACGCTGCCCTTGTTTGCGCCTGTGCAGCTGCCCCCTTTCGGCTGGCGGCGATGCGATCCGGCTGCTGGCCGCGGTGAAGCGACCGGTGTAGTGGACGAGCGAGAAGGCCCGTGGCGAGGTGACGAGAGAAGAGACGAGGCGCAAGGGGGGGGCCGGATTCCGCAGACGACGTGCTTAGTCGTTGAGTTGAGCAAGCTCAGTCAGAAAAAAGAACAAAAAAAAACTGCGAGAGGCTCTGCAGCCAATTTCGAGCGCAATGGAACCCAAAGGTGCAGTGCAGCGGGCACCGGTGGGCGCCAGGGCGGAAGCGCAGCGCTGGAGCCCGCTAGCATCTCAGCAGGCTTCTAGTGAGCTGGGCCGCTGGGGGATCCCCCGTAGGCCGACGGATACGTAGTACATCAGACAGGCCCCAGCGACTGCGGGGTTTTTGCGCCAGTCCTTGGCCCGAACTGGGCCGGTGGCGGCGGCGCTCTGGGGCTTCAGAGGGTTGTTTGGCAATCAGCTGGACGCTGACTGGGCCGCGGCCTGACGGTTAGCGGTGCAGACTGGAGTCGCCGGTACCTGCCAGAGGCTGCGTGTGTCGGCGGGCGAGTGGGAACCAGGTACCGGCTGGTGCTTGAGACTCAGGTTCTATTACCGGATGCGAGCGTGGACGGGCAGTTGCACGAACATGTACAGACGGTGAGCGGCCAACAGTTGAATCAATAGCCATCCCATCCCATCACA